CGAATTTATACAATAGTGTTGAATATATTTCTATGAATCCAGAAAAATCCAATTTTGGAGAAAATGAGTAGACGATTTTCTCCGATTTTGGAGAAATATATTACAAAATTTTGATTCGGAGAAAATTTCAGTTTAGCGAACACTTTTTGACTTTCTCCGATTTTAGGACTGACCCCCCCTCCTGCTCCAACCTCTTCGCGCCGTCCCTGGTTATAATTATGAGTATCCTATGTTTACAGTATAAACTTTCATAGGTATTATCTTACTCAGTTTTTATATCGTAGTCTGACTCTACTTCAAGAGAATAACTCACGCAAGGCATGCCATTTCTGTCCAATTTTTATTTTTCTAAGTCTCTTATCTGAATGAATGCGTCCATATCACCATCAATAATTAATATGATATCATTTGAGGATTTTTTTATATTATTTAATCAGGAACACTTGCATAATTCAGGCTTCAATTTCAATCGCTAAAGAGAAGATCAAACCGATTTGATTCTTTTTCTTGTTTTATATATGAAATTTCTTCCTCTAGGACATGGTTTTACTAAAACTAAATTAGAAATCAATAATAATTTCCGACATGCGGATCTAATCTTTTTCACGTTTTATCAAAAATTATATGAATAGAATCATTCGTTAATGGCGCAACTTTGTAAAATTCAGACACGTGCATCTCGAGATAATGAACTTTCCTAAAAAAATCAGAACTAGGAACTTTTGTTAAGAGGAGTTATCAGTAAATAAACTAGTGTTAATAACTGGACACAAAAAATTCTCGTATGACTGAAAGAGAAGTTGAAAACCAATGCTAAACGCTGAAGGTCCTTCTTCAGAATCACTAAATGATGGCAAGATAAAAACTTTTGCTTCGAAGTTTGGTAGAATCTCTGGAAAATCGATTTCTAAGAGGTAGGTTTTTCAATCCTATCGTGCTGAAAATTATGATTTTTACTTACTAAACTCTGTGTTGGTATTATTTGTTCATGTAATTTCATTAAGCATTTAGTATCATCATCAATATTTATTTGATTATTATTATTATTATTATTATTAATCATTTGTCGATCATTCATATTTTCGTTTGTTTCATTTGCATGTTGTTTTGGACTTAATGATTTATTATTATCATTATCATCAACTTGGAAATTCGGATTAACTTTTTTCTACAAATAGAATAAAAGAAAAAGAAAATTATTTTCTAAATTCTATCTTTTTTTACTTTATAAGAAAGTCGATGACGTTTTCCTTTTAAATGTGCATCTTTTGTATTCGAATCATTAAATTTACAATCACATAATTTACAATAATAAGATCTTGGTGTATTTGTATCATCATATGATATTTCAATATATTCTGCACCTATTAATTTTATACTATTTTCACTTGATTGCTTTTCTTCATTAGTCACTACTGTTTGTGATTCATTAATTGGTGCTAATGATTGATTAACATTTTCTGGAATAATTTTACCTAATTTATGATGTAATTTTACAGCCTAATGATAAAATTATGATTGTAAATAAAAGAAAAAAAAAATATTATTCAATTACTTTATCATGTTTACTTCCATCTAAATGTGCTTTATAAGCATCAGAACTTGTACAAGTTATATCACATAAATTACATCGAAATGTATTCTGATTTGTTTGTTGATTTAGAGAACTAATTTCTTTTTTCTTATGTTTTGAACCATTTAAATGTGCTTGATATGAAGCATGTCCACCACATGCTATACGGCATGTTTCACAATAAAATGCACATGTTGAATTTTTAGCATTCAAGAGATTATTTTCTGAACGATAAATAACATTTTGTCGAGATATATTTGATGGATGATGATTAGCCATTAATGGTTCGGGTGGATGACTGAAAGCAGGCAATATTTCAGTAGCTGATTGATTGTGATGATTATAGCCTGAAGAAGAATATTATTTGGTGGAATCAGAATAAATATTTAGAGCGTGATGGATAAGCTATAGATATTTACTTATGGAATCTGAAAGCATGAAAAGAAAAAAAAATTCTGATATTAGCGAATTATGAGAACATGTTTTATATTTTCTTGTTAGTTGTTCTGGATTTCGAATATTGGTAAATTAGAAATAAAAACGCTGTAATTCATTATCGATGACCATTTTGTTTTAATCTTGAATCATGAACGTGTTTTTCATCTCAAGAAGTAGATTATAATTCATTATTAACTATTCATAGTTCAGAAGAAATAAATGTGTCAATTTCTACATGCACATCTTTTGTTATATAAAAATATTAATTCAATCATGTTCACTACTTTGAAGTAAGAGAATCTTCTCTCTGTAAAGTCATCGATAGTGTTGGTTTAGTTATATTATATCAGAAGGTAGAACATTTTTTAGATTCTTGTATTTGATAAACTTAGTTAAAATTCTTCAAGTCCGTAAACTTACCGGTATATGGCTGTTGAGTCTGCATAGAAGAATACATTGGATAATTTCCATATTGAGGCATTCGTGGCTAGAACAAATTAGAAATCTTAAAATTTCTTTTTCTCTTTAATAGTAAAGTATATTCACTTGTGAAAGAGTATTAGGAAATCTTTGACCATATAAAGATTGTTGTTGAGCTGCTTGAGGATATGGAAGATTACTATATTATCGAAAAATAGAATCAAATTTTGAAAAACTAAATCTACGATATACTTGTATATAGGAACATTCATTCTGTTGTTATACATTTTTTTCTAATTAATAAAAAGACAACAATTGATGCAATGAAGCAAATCGATTTCGAAACAATTTATCTCTTTAACCAGATCATATTATGTTGATTTCATTATCCAATCATCGATCTTTTGACATCGAGCACCCTCTTTTGATTGTTCTATTTGAATGGAAGAAAACTTTGACGATTCTTTGCAGTACTTTGATTATACTCCAGTAAATACACTTTTAAATATAGAAACCATAGATAAGAACCTTATTTTAGCTTGTAACCCTTAGATCTGAAACAATCTATGTATGTTCGAAAAATTCTATTGAGAAAATTTCTTCGTTATGAATTTGGTATTGATATTTTTTTTTAAATATTAATCAAATAATTGACCTTTTATTATTTTTTTGTAAAATAGACGTATTCATAAATTGTTGTTTGCAGCAATCAAGAAATTTAGTTATACCTAAATATCAGCATTTACGTACATATTCATTATCAAGTAGTGTACTCACACGATCAAGCAATAATTCATATACAATACGTGGTATAGGACAGAATTCCAAAGGTAATTAAAAACTTTTTTGTTTAACATTTCAAAGAAAATTTTCAATAATGATAGAAAAGAATAACTGAAATAATTAATAATGATGCAATTCTAATACGAATATGTACAAAAGCATTCTACCTAGACGTCTATCAGATTAAAAGTGTGTTGCTTTCAAGCGAATTATCTTGTCAATATAAATGAAAAATTAAGAGAGAAAACAAAAAACAAGAAATATAACATTCATTGACTGAATCGATCTACAAAAGTTTAAGTAGCTCAGTTTTACATATCAATAATAAATAATTTGTGTTGAACTTCTCGATTATTATCCACAGCTGTGTTTTGTTTCTTTCCATTTTATTCATATGTTTGATACAGAATAATAAGCTTTGATTTAATTTAATTTTAGTCAACTTTAGATTTACTTTTTCTTATCGATCTTGCGTAGTCAATATTTTCCCTTTATTGACCAACATAATCTTCGTAGTTGAGGTTAGCGAGTTTCACTAGTTAAAATTAAATTAATCTCTGCTCGGTACAATATTGATGGATGTTCCAAAAAAGGACCATTATCTGATAGATGACTTTGATGTATCATTGAATTTTGTTAGAAATCGTATTAAAACTGAAAGCTGTTGACAAAGTAAACTTACACAACAGTCGGAAATTTGTTGCTAGTGCTTTATTGTCGTCTGGAGCAATTCTATGCTTCACATTTTTGGTAGTAATTATGATATAATAACACAGGCGGATTTTTTTTTTCTATCGTGTATATCTATGAAATACATTTTCCTATTCTCTTTGAAAAAGTTGTTGTATATACGTATTACATTGTAGGATAAAAACGATGAAGTCAGCTAGGGTTCATGAAACATGGAACAAAAATTCTCTATTTATAATATCAACAAATGAAATCAAAGGAATTTAGTTGAGTATCGAGTGTGAAAAAGTCTATGATACACTCTTAATGTCAAAGAAAAACGAATTAATAGTCAATACATTCATTGGAATATTAAAATAATACATAAGGGAATAAATGAAAACATATTTTAAAGTCGAAGAGATATCATATTCTTTAATTACTTATTTCTTTTTGTATAAAAATTTCGCGAAAATGATTGTTCGCAACAATAACACTAAATTCATATACACTATCAATATCAATAAACAACTGATCGATGATTATAAATTGATCAGCTACGAGTCTCAATCTAAATCAAATAGATCACATTTGATTAGTTATGAAGTATAAAATTGAGAGTATAAAACGAAAGAACATCAAATAATTCCAATGTATGTTAGTGAAAGTATATTAAAATGTTGATATATTTCTATCGTTTCTTTAAAAAGTCAATTAATCTATCTTTTTTTCAGTAATTAAGATTCATTTAATCGAAATCTATTGCAATTAATGCATACCTTCATGTTGCGAACTCATACTCTTGACTTTCTTAAATAAAAGAAAAACTAAAGATCTTAAATTCTTGATCATTTCATTTAACTTCAGGTGGAAATGATGGTTCAGGCAAAATTACATTTCTTTGCCCAAAATGTGGCGACATTTGTACACATATTGAAAAACTTGTCTGTAAGTTATTATTTAATATAACATAAATATATATATTTTTTTTTCCGTATCATTCATATTTAGCTTCAACAAGATTTGTAAAATGTGAAAAATGTAGTCATTTTTTTCTTGTTTTATCTGAAAATGAAGGAACAAAAAAAATTAAAGAAGATAAAACTAGGAAACGGCAGCCATTACCAACACCGAAAAAGGTTTTTTTTTATAAATCTTTCAATTATACAAAAACAAATTAAATAAATCTTTTTCTTTTAGATTTATGAATTTCTTAATAAATATGTTGTTGGCCAAGAATATGCAAAAAAAGTCATGTCAGTTGCGGTTTATAATCATTATAAACGTTTACATAATAATTTACCATCGGCGAACACTACAAAATCTCAACAAAACGCATCTGAACCTACGAATGATCTTAGTACACATTTATCCAATCAACAACGTAATTTAAAAAAACATGTTATATACAGGGCGTCCGAAACGTCACTTGTCACAAAAACTCATATATCTCTACTGTAGTTAAGCCAATACACGTGACTTTTTCTGAAATGGTAGAGGAAGTGTGAAAAACTTAAAGTTGATAAATAACACTGCGAATTTGAATATCTGAACAGGATTAGTCCAAAGTAGCCAACGCGGGGAGGGGGGGAGGAGGGTGATTAAAGATTGTTTTTCTAACGTTTCAACTCTGATCCTATGCATAAGGTAAACTGTAGTGAGATTTAAAAAGTCTCAAAAGGGCTAGCTCTCTTAAACCTGCTGTCGAGAGTTACAGGTATTTTACTATAATTTTAGTCTCTGGCACGGTATATACTATTAAATCGAATGACGGTATTTCGATCTGAGATTGTTCCCACAGACAAGTCTATTTGTCAGTAGAATGTTCTGAAAATTTCAGCTCAAGAGAATACTTTCTTCCTGACGTACTAAACCGTCACAAAAAAACAGAAAAATCTAACATGTTTTCGTAGAATATGAGTGGTTTTTGGAAATTTGATATCTCGGGAAGAAAATATTCTTTAGAGCTGAAGTCTTCAGAACAGTTTACTGACAAATTGACGTCTTTGTGAAAAAAATTGTATACACTTTTTTCTATTATGATTTTTCAGGTTTTCTCCTTCATATTGGTGTACCGTTTCATACCGCACCACTTGATGGTTCAAATAATAATCCTCCAATTGGTTCGAATAATAATGAAGAATCGAAACATGGAAGTCATATTTTGAATAATGATAAATACGATATTAAACTTGAAAAAAGTAATATCCTTATGCTTGGCCCAACCGGCTCAGGTAAATACAAACGAAAAAAAGTTTTAATTGATTTTCTTTTTGAAATTAATTATTTATTTTCTAGGTAAAACATTACTTGCACAAACAATTGCAAAATGTCTTGATGTACCATTTGCTATTTGTGATTGTACAACACTTACACAAGCGGGTAAAAACAAAAGAATAAAAATAAATGAATAAAAGAATATCTTTTTTGTAAATAGGTTACGTTGGAGAAGATGTTGAATCTGTTATTTCTAAATTACTTCAAGATGCTAATTATAATGTTGAACGATGTCAACAAGGTTTGAAAAAATTTACATTGACATTTCTTTTCATATATAATTTTAGATATTCAGGAAATACACTTATCCTGCGAAAATGTATTTATCATATTTGATATGTTTTGTTTTGAGAGAGATAATTTAGAGGCTACGAATTGAAAAATAAAATGTTTGATAGAACTATGACTTTAGCGAATTTGGAGTAATAAATAACAATTGAATGATTAACATATGAAACTGGGAAATATACGTTAGCGTCCAAACTGGCACTGAATCTAATATCGTATCTGATATTCACCTAGATCCATTGGCATGCCAGCATTATAATTCCAGGTTGGCAATAAATAGGGAGATGTTTTAAAAAAAAAATGAGAAGCATAGTTTTCAATAAATAATTAGCATGATTCAGCGTTCCATTGGTACTCGTGTGATTCGATAGCACGTATAAAATACTAAACATGCTTGAACTTTCGTTCGACTATCGATAAAATATTTTAGATGTAGCTACTGCCACTGATTACTCTTTGATGGTGCGTCTATGTCGAGATCAATCCAAGACCGAATGAAATCTCAGCTTAGACACTAACATTTCCTTAAGATTCGATTTAATATTCGAAATGCATAAATGTATCATCTAGACAAGAATTGATGTTACCAACATACTTTATTAAATGAAATGTACACTGCTAAGATCTATTGGACCTTGCATATACATGTGAAGAATAATCATTTATTTTACTAATGGATATCTTAGAAGTCAATTGATGAGAAGTATAAGTACTACATTTATCTTTCGATAGTATCGAACATATTCCAACTGACGTCAAACAAAGCTATAGTTCAGTAACATTTACTTATTCTGAACTGCTAAATCGTCAAGACAGGCTAAAATATTTGGCTTCATCAGAGTCTACTTAAAAGTAATGTCTTGGTCCATTTCGAACGCTAGATATCATTATAGACTGAGTTGTATTTGAAAGAATTTTAAAAGTAAATGATTGAAATGATTTCAAAGTGTATTAGAAAAAGTAGAACAGCTAGTTATATATGTAGTTTAGCTTTTTTCAAACTAAAAGAATATGAATTAAGTAATTGAATCAATTGAACTATTTTGGTTTAGCATGTTCCTGAAGATCAGGCTAAAGAAAAGTAACTTCTTGGCAGCTCTGAATCTCTTATCTTCTTCAGTTAAATAGAATTTTGATTTACTTTTATAATGAGAAATTTCGATCTTATTACTAGTACTGACTTGTTGTGTTGAAATATTATCTCCTATCTTTTCAATGATTTCATATCATTAAAATCTTGAATTTAATGTCTAATAATGAATAACAAAGGAAATCTTAAATGAAAACATTCCATAATGCTTAATCTATTTTCTTTGTCTAGGCATTATATTTTTGGATGAAGTCGATAAAATTGGTAGTGTACCAGGTATTCATCAACTTCGTGATGTTGGTGGTGAAGGTGTACAACAAGTATATCAATCTTTTTTTTTTATTATACTTTTAAAATTTATCTTTATTTTTAAGGCTTTATTAAAAATGCTTGAAGGTACTATTGTCAATGTTCCGGAAAAAAATTCAAAAAAAATGCGCAGTGAAACAGTACAAGTTGATACAACAAATATATTATTTGTTGCATCAGGTGCATATACAGGTTTAGATAAAATCATAAGCCGACGTAAAAAAGAAAAATATATTGGTTTTGGTACAACATCCAATGAAGCGCCATCACGTCGTCGTGCAGCACAATTAGATTTATTTGAACAAAATGATGATAATGATGCCAGAATTGAAGAAGAAAACTTAGAACGTGATAAATATTTACAAGAATGTGAAGCTCGCGATTTAATTGAATTTGGAATGATTCCAGAATTTGTCGGAAGGTAATAATAACAAAAGAATGAATATTTATTAATTATTATTTATTTATTTATTTATTCATGTAGATTACCAATAATAGCTCCATTTCATAGTTTAAATGAAGATATGCTTGTACGGATATTAATTGAACCTCGTAACGCTTATATACCACAATATCAAGCTTTGTTTAAAATGGATAAGGTAATATGAATTATCTAACTTTTATTCGAACATGAAATGCAATGGAAGGAAGGAAGAATATCCCTGCCTTTTGGTTCCTTCAGAGTATGAGCCGTTGCCTAATGGCAGATCCAGTAGTCCGATATCTTCCCTACAGATAATACTAGTTGTAGCTCTGGAGACAAGGTCGATCTGTTGCAAAGTTCTTGAGTTCTCCATACACACTAACTAATCACAAGATCAAATGTATGTCACATCCTAGTCTCTATGCTATTGGATGGGCGATCCGAGACAGGCAGCTGCTAGTGACTTGCCCACGTTCTTTGCATGGCTAGTGATAACTGTTGAACAACATAGTCACTTAGGGGTGGCTGCTACCGAAATGCAATGAATGTGTAAATTTTCAATTGATAAGTTTTGTTATACTGACGATCGATAGAATTTCTCTTTATTTTCTGGATTGTTAAATATTGTTTTTATATCGCTGTCTTTTATTTAATAATCTATATCATAGTAATAGTTGAACAATCGGTAGAATTAGTATCAATAATTGTATTGTATTCTATTGCTAAAAATAAATTATTGACTTACAACCATTAACTATGAAAAATCTCGACAGATTGTGTCTTTATTTGTTACTTTTATATACTCGCTAATGATCATACAAGTAGTCTCGTTTGTATTAATTAAAATCTAGTCTATTCACTATTAGAAAAAAAAGAAACAAAATACGTTGTTAGTATCTTCTTATCTAAAAGAGTTCTATTTTATTACGTATTTCAATCTTGCATGGTTTCAAGTGTAGGTTATTTCAATTTATTAACATTTCATCCAAATTATATTTTGGAGACTGCTCTCTAAATTAATGTCCACGTTAGAATTACAGAAGAGTGACTGTAAGCTCAATAAATCGATAACAGTAACATCTAGCGACTTGCGGTTTTCAGTAACTGAACGAAGAAAGTTCAATTTCAAAAAGACGACGTCCGAAGTGTCTTCTCTGTCAATTATTGAAAATTGCAGATATTTATCTTCAATCGAATATATCTGTTGACATAGCGAAACTTCTTGCATATATCGATTTGTTTCTATTTATAAAATATTTTTAGGTTCAATTAGATTTTACCGATGGTGCTCTCCGTTCAATAGCTAAGAACGCTTTACGCCGAAAAACCGGTGCTCGTGGTCTTCGATCAATACTAGTACATAATTTAATTCAATTAATTTCATCTATTTAATTAATCGTCTTTCTTTTTATCTTTAGGAACGTATTTTACTCGAACCAATGTTTGATATTCCCGAATCTGATATTGTCGGTGTTCGAGTTGATGAAGAAGCTATTAAAACAAATAAGTGTCCTGAATATATTCATTCACGTCCAACAACATCTGCTGATGATCTTCATGAAAATTTATCAATATCAAATGAAAATAAAAATACAAATGATAATGATAATAAAATTTCCATGCCAACCGGTTAGAAAAAAGAAAGTATATTATTAAGCAGTGTATTTCCTATTTATACATATTTCTGTATATGTATTTGACAGCAAGCAATTTATTCTATCCTTTTATTTATGTCTTTCTTTAAGTACAGAAAAAAAACAGCGTTGCTTGTAAATAAACGTGAATTAAATATATATATATATATATATATATATATCAAGATATAAGAGACAAATAAAAGATTATATCGTAGATCATACAAATACAGAAGACGGAAAAAACTTTTCAGCACATTCAACATATTTCTCTTGTGTGTAATCATTGACATTACAAAAAAATTATCTAAACAATGAAAATATTCTATTTTATTACGAGTTTGATTTATATAAATGAAATCTTGTTTTTCAGCAAAGAATGTTGAGTGGTCATTGCATGTGCTACTATTAAAACATTGATGTGTTAAGAATTATGATGCAGTTGTCTATTAAGACGATAGAATAATAGTTCTTTGGTGTCAAATTCAGGTTAAAGAATGGTGTGTGAAATCACTTTTTCTAACAAGAGTTTTATTTTACTACTATACTTGGATGTTTACAAGAGGACACTATAGACCAGCGATGGGATCGGTTCGGTTTGAATTTTAAAAAACTTACATCGATCTCATCTCTGCTATGGACTACATAATGATATAATATTATTAGCAGATCATCGAACTGAATTTATGCAAAAGTTGAATGCAAATATGTGTTTAAAAAAGTGCGACATAAACTCTTGAAACTTACATATTTCACATAAATGGCAATGAATTCATATAGAAAAGTAATATCTTTAATGTTCATCAAGTACTGTAATAAATAAGTCCAGAAGTACTGCTTCTGATATTTGTGTTTAATGAAAATGATTCACTCTTGCCGTCTTCCTCTGGTTTTGATATCAACATCTTCTTCATTTTTGTCGATCTTTCAGTAATACTTTGCATATTTAATATGACGTATGGATTTCTTTTCATGAAAGATCCTCGTTAAATAAGTCGTTCCAGCATCTATAAGTAATTTTGCTTCTTTTCCTAATCATTTCAAATGATAGTCGTCTCGCTCAGCACTATTACTAGTGAACATTTCAGTTGGTAAATCAATGCTCATTTCTTTTATGACTACTCGAATAGCAATAATGAACAAAGTCGTTATTGGCAAACGATAACTACTATGTATAAGTAAATATTCGAACAGGAAAAATATAAGAAATACGTCACAATGACATAAAAATTCAAGATTAAAAAAGTATCAGGAATGCATCAAATGGGTCATCAGTTTTATGTTTTATAACTGTTGTCTTTTAAAATAACGTTAATTATAACAAGTCTTAGCCTCTATATGACCATAGCACATAATCAACATATTTTATCGCATAAAAATAAATCAAAATTTCAATCTCGATTTGAAACCAAACGACAAGAAAATTTCATCATTTTTTTGTTCAAACAAGTCATCTAATTAAACAAGTATTCATCTATTATTACTGTTTTTCTTTTTTTGGTTTTCTTTAAAAAAAAAAGAATTTAATGCTTTACTACCAATATAACGTTAGAAGCTATTAGTTAAGTTGTTTTACATCGATTACTCAAATAGATGAATCAAAAGATGTGAGTATATAATTTAATTTAACAATTAATTGTTTGTTAGTAATATATTTATATTCTGTTACACCAATGTAAAGATATGCACTTTATAGTTGGTTCATTTTCTTTGTTCATCACATTTGTTAAAGGGATGCAAAAGTTACCTCGATATGCATAAGTTAACAAAAGAATCACAGTGAAATATATCAGCAAACATTTTTCTTTTTTTTCTTTATACATTATCTACACTTATCGATTTAATACCTAGAATTTCTTTTTCTATAATCGATGTATTACACAGTTCTTTGTCTTTCTTTATCTCTCTCTCTCTCTATACATATATGTACATATATATCATCATCTATGAACATGATAAAGAAAGCCAGTCCAGGTCAATTTAATGCAATCCAGAAAAATCTAGTGAGAGAGAGAGAGAGAGAGAGAAAGAAAGCAAGTGATATCATCGTTACTAGTCGAAAATAGAAAAGCCGTGTTATTATTGTTGTTCGACTTCACTTCGCACGCAAACACGATCAATATCGGACGTAAACGCGCATTAGATAGATAGAAGAGAATAACGAGACGAGGGACGGTTTTGCTATCGTCATTTTTATGCGTATTATCGACATTGCCGTCGAATTTCCATTAAATCCCAAGATGAAACAGGTATGAAAACTAATATTTTATGTTTGATATAAAAGATATTATATTTTATTTCATATGATAGTTTCATTTAACGTTATTATTGTGTCTTCTATTGGCAAGTAGTGCCACTGGTCACTATAATTCCGGTAAGAAATTTTCCAATCATTATATTTATATGTAAATCTATATTTTATCTGCTTGTTTTTTGTTTAGATACCTTCTTAGGTCATCGTCTTACTGGACACCAATTGGGTACCAAACAAACAGATTTAGGCAGTTATGGTCTTTCTCCAGACGCTCATGCATTTGGAGGTTTTGGTCAACAATCAAATGCTCGTTTATACAGTTCAGGTCGTAGGGCTAGTGTCCCAGCTACTAATAATTTGGGACAATTTAGTCAACAGATAACTGGTTTATCAACTTCCGGACAAACGAGTTATCCTCAACAACCTGCTCGAACTACTGTTAATCAACAACCAGCTGCTACTGAAGACGTTACATCATTTGTTTCCAATGTTCAAGTTCCACAACGAGATCAACCTTATAGTGATGTTAACAATGATGGCTTATCAAATGGTGATAGTAATAAATATAACAGACCTTATGCTGAACCAACTGGTATGCCATATGGTATCCAATCAACAGGTGAAATTTTAAGTTATCAACCAGAAAAACTCGATCTTTCCAAATGTGGACCAAGTAAGATTAATTGAATAGAAAAATGCAAATCATTCCGAATTTTTCTTATTGTTTTTCTAGCACCAACAGTAAATCCATGTACACCATTTGGTTCACAATATTATCCATTACCTGGTTATCCAAATTGTTATATTCATTGTGCATTTGGACGTTTATTTGTCAAACCATGTCCAACTTATCTTGTATGGAATACACGTGTTCATAGTTGTGATTGGCCAACACTTGGTTCTCCATTTGGTAGTGATGATTATGGTACAACATCGTATAGTAACAGTGGAAGTAAGAGTGGTTCAGCATCTTATGAAACTAGCAACACGAACTATGCAATGCCACAAACTTATTCCTATGGACGAAAGAAGCGTTCAACAATTGAACGCAAGAAACGTAACATTGCAGCATATTATCAAAGTTTAATGATGCCATTTTCTCCTCAACAATATCCAGGTTATTATACAGCACCTTCTCCATATGAACCCGATCCACTTCGTAAGTTCTATTTTCTTAAGTCATCTATGAACAATTGTTAATTACTTTTATTTTAGGTATACCTGTGACACAATTTAATTTACCAGGTCCAGTTAGTTTTCCTGGCCAAGTCGGATTTGCAAGTTTTCCTTCTCAATTTGCAAATCCACAAGCTCCGTAAGTACTATTGACTTTATTAATGTTAAAATAAAATATTTGTTACTTTTTTAGTCAACCAGTAGGTGTTCCATTAACTGCTCCAGCAGCATCAGCACCTGTACCAGTTGCTCAAGCAACACCAGCCCCTGTACCAGTTACTCCGGCAACACCAGCCCCGGTGCCAGTTGCTCCGATGGCACCATCATATGCACCAGTTGCTCAGCCTCGTACTATTGCAACATATGGTGGTTTATATGCTGATATGTTTACTGCTCCATCTAAAGCTAATCCAGCAGTAGTTCCTGCAGCTCCATCAGCAGCTCTTACTCCAACATTTTTTCCAACCTTACCGTCAGCAGCTTTTTCGTATGTTTGATTGATGTTGTAACTTGAATAAGTAACTTTTAGCATAATATGTTTCTAGATCTTCAATGTTCCCACAACAAAGCGTCGCACCTGCTACTTCTTTTGCAGCACCTACTCCTGTTTCCTTTTCGGCTACATTAAGTAAGTTTTCTTTCATATATTTAATTTCATTTTTCATTTATTTCGGTTTTTTAGTTCCTGGTCCACTTTATCCATATGGCCCTCCACATGGCGGACCATTTGGTCATCCACTCCCACCACCTCCCAAACCTTCGGCTGGCCTACCTCCCATGTTTTTTGGACCTTTCGCTGGTCATCCTATGGCACGTTTTGGGTTCTTCGGTGGTCAGGCTCTCCCACCTTTTATGCCTTTTGGTGGCCAGCCTCTCTCAAGTTTCAGATTTTTCGGTGGTCAACAACCTCCACCTGCTATGCCTTTCGGTGGTCAAGGTCTTCCACCTTTTATGCCTATTGCTGATTTATTTCGTGGTGGATCATTTGGCTCTAATCTACCTAACAATGGACCTCTCGGCTCAGATTTTGAGTAAGATTCTTCCTAAAATATTTTTTCTTTCGAATGTATCTACATGATTTTATTTGTAATGATAGAAGTCAAAATGAACATGATTTAACCTGATATAATTTTTTCATTCATTTTCTTTTTTTTTTTATAGACTTGAAGTATTCTCAGCTGATGATGATTCCAACGAGGGTTCTGACGATAGTTCTTCGTAAGTATTACTGCATTATTCATTAATTATTACATTTGATAATAAATTTTTTCTTTGCTCATGTTAGTGGTAAAGGTGATGGTAGAACTGCCGGCAAAGTCAATAAAAATGAAAACAAAATATCCGACAAAAGCAACTCTGGAAAATCTCCTTCGTAAGTTTTTTTATTTGTAAATATATGTTAATATTTTATTTCTTTGATATATTTTTAGTACCGATGGTGGTTCTGATTATTCAAAAAGAAAAGACTATACTAGGTTAATAAATAATTGCTTTTGAATAAAACAATTCTAAGTTTTTCTTTTTTCTATATAGAAATGGTAATTTCAAAAGCCGTGGAAATAAAGTTACAGGTGATAATTATGAAGATGAAGAATTTGATGGTTATGATGATTTTCCAAATATTTACTATCGTAAAAAGCGTCACTATGGCTCCTATGGTACAACTGTTGGACAAGTACCAACAGTTCCTGTAGCTGCATTACAACAATATCAAACTAGCTACAATCCACTTCAATCTACATCGTATAATGCATTACAACAACCACGTTTAATCCCAAATGAATTAAATCGTCAACCATCATTGCAATGTATGATATGTTTTTTTTTTCATCGTGTTTTTTTATATAATTATATATTTTTATCTAGTATCGCCGTGTTTTAATAAACCACCACGAATTAATATTGCACATCCAACAGATGCTGGAAAATATATTGCATGTATATCTCGATTACATTATGAAATAATGGATTGTCCAAGTGGTCTTATTTATAATCCAACTATTGATCAATGTGAAAAAAGAAAAAATCTTGAAGCAATTTGTGAACGTGAAAAACCATGTATGAATAATGGTCAATGTTATCAAACAAGTCCAACAATATATAAATGTACTTGTCGTGGTGCTTGGACAGGTGAACGATGTGAAACGCCATTATCATCTTGTGCTACTAATCCATGTGGTCCAGGTAATGAATGTCTAACATTAAAAGCAGGTGAATACAAGCAAGATTATGTTTGTGTATGTGATGAAGGTCAAGCATATGGTTTAAGTTGTGGACGAAGTATATTTATTGAATTATTCTTTTTCGTAAAAATTTATATATTTTTATTTATTTTTTCTTCTAGATACTGTACCAAATCCATGTTTAGGTGCATCAACTGAACAAGAACAATATTATCCATTTATATTCAGTCCTCAAGCTTTTATTCAATGTAATGGTGAGATACTCTATGTTCAACCATGTGCATCTGGTTTATATTGGAATCAAGAAGAAAAAGTCTGTGATCAAATTGAAATGTTACCAACAACACCAGGTGAAAAGCAACCACAATCATATGAAGTTATCTATGGTACTAATGAACAAAAATCAACATATATTCGTCCAACACCTAATTTAACTGATCAAAATTTTATCAAACAACAATCTTCTCAACAACGATTCGAACAAACCAAACAACCACAAATCGTTATTAATGAGCAAAGGTAGAAATATATATATATATATAAATTCTTTTTTTATATTGAATATTTTCTTCAATTTATTTAGTTCAACATCAGTAAATAAAGTTGTTCCAGTTCCACAACAACCAACTGTTAATTCATTTCAAATATTTTCTCGTCATATGAAACAAAAATCATCAATGCCAACAAATAATTATGTCATGGCACAAGAACAACCAATTCTTACTAGTCGATCATCATGGTCAACTCCAGTTATACAATCCGAAACTGCTCAAACATATTTACCAAAACCACAATACGATCAAACTTATAATGAACTATCACCACGATTTTTGATGCATCAACAACCAATACGACCAAGTACTCGTCTAGTTAGACCAGAATTACAGGGAGATTTCAATACACAATAAACACCATCAGGCTAATGTCGATAGAAATTATTTATATTTCATAATTGATTTATCTTTTTTTTTCTATTGATAAAGTTTACGTGTGATTTTTATTCTCTTTTTTTGGTAGCTTGATCCATGTCCACTTTCTTCCCTTCTGTCTTCTTCGTTTATTTTAGTTTTTTGTTTATTGATCACTTTGATTATCCGGTATATATGTGATGCTATTTAACGTTTTATTATGAAACAAATAAAATGCATCAAATTTTTTTTATTCTTTTAAATAAGCATTGCATTATTGTAAAATAAGGATTGATAACTTACGACAATAAAGAAGAGATGGTCATTTTATTTATTTTTTTCATTTCTTACAGAATTAAGGAAAAACAAATATTATGTTAAAATAGATAATAAACAGAACATGATCACAAGATAAGAAATCCGTATGAAGAAAAATGAAATTATCATTATCATAAATGATGTTTTTTCTTATCTTCAGTTATTAACTTAGTCATAGTAAATTGTTTTTAAGTAATAGATAACAAAAAGAAAGGTCATCATATTTTATTTATATGACTAGTGATTTTAAAATCATTAAATCAAATCGACAAACAAAATAGAAAAAAATCATTTTATTTACAAATCAATGTGAATACATGTAAACAACAAATTATCACCTATGACACGTATATCATTGGTAGGGGATCCTCTCGACTGGTCCCCCTTGCCAATTATCCCAACTGGTCTCCCCTTAATTGACTCTCAATTCGTCCCCAACAAAATTCGTTCCTAGTTGACTGATTCTCAATTCGTCCCCTCAATTAGCCCGTCCCTGTTCAGAAACAATTAGAAACAAATATAGGAATAATAGTCATCAATCAGAAAATTTATTGCTGCGTAGAGTACTCAGTATATATATATATATGATGTGTTTTCTTAGTAGTGTATTAGTTTCCCTATTGACATTATCTCTGCTCTGAGAAATGCTGCTATTCACATCTTCGGAGCACGGTCAACTTATACTCAATTACAATTCTCATCAATACACAAAGAAGCATGCAAGAAAGATGAGCAACGAGTGGCGTTGTAGAGATCGTGGTTGTGTCAGCATGCTTTCTCTTTGCATAGTCGATGCAAAAGTTCTTCGCGAGCCCTCTACTCATACTTTTCAACAACCAGCTTCAGTCGGCAAATCTCTAGTCGACAAAGCAGTTGGTAATATGAAAAAACGTGCACGAGAGGAGACTACGCCGATCCCCAAAATCTATACACAAGAAATCGTTAAAGCTCGTAGGGTGTGGGTGTTGATGAGGATATGGATATGGCTCTAGTCTTCAACCACACCCACACCCACCCGAGAATATCAAGCTCCTTCATAACGACCATAAGGACGGAATGATTACTGACATGCAACTCGCGATCAAATGCAGATGCGCTTTAAAGACAAAACTTGTCAAATGATTTTTGTTTCTTTTGTTTTTTTCTTGTTTCTTTGTTACTCTTGAATAAAACAGCTGATTGTTGAAAATCGTCTGTTTATCAAATTAGCCACCAATTAGTAGCTATTGGATTGGGGGACGAATTGAGAATCAATTAACGGGGTACGAATTTTGTGGGGGACGAATTGAGAGTCAATTAATGCGGAGGGGACGAGTTGGGGACGAATTGGGGACCAGTTGGGGACGAGTCGAGAGTAACTCATTCTGATTACTTAAATTATCTAATTGTAAAATGATTACCAAGGCTGTAGATGAAGAATAGACCTCATCAGCACTTACATCTACATTCATTTTCATTTATTATAAATTTGATTATTATGTAAAAATACTTACCTCACCAACATGTTACGCTTATATGAGATTGTAATTATAAGAAAGGCTTGAGTTTAAAATAGATATAATTTTATTTGAAAAGACAATAGTTCTATTTAGAGAATGTATTTTCTTCTCATTTACACAGTAACCATACAATAGATATGGCTTATCTATGTGTAGAATGAATAAATCCTTTTGCCGAAATAGAATAATCTAGAACTTCTATTATGTTTCATTTACTTTCGAAAAATTCATAAACAATTTTGAGAATTTGGTAAGAGATTCTGAGGATATAAAAACAAAATCTCAGAAATAATGTTATCTTTTGTTTCTCAAGATGTTTTAGTTCAACAATAAAAAAAAAAAAAAAAACTAGGCATATTTTAGTGTGAATAAACTAATTGAAATTTCAATTTTGCGAGAAATCAATTAACTAATAGAAGTGTTCTATTACGGGAAAATTTTACATAAGAGATTCAAATAGGTCAATGAGTTTACTCATCTAAATTCTAAATAAAAAGTAAAACTATTGTCTTTTGAGTAGAAAACGTTGGTGTGAAACTATATAGTGAGTTATCTTTGCAACTAGAATATGAGAAATGATATGACTTTTTTTCTAATAGTTATAACTGAATACAATTATAACTAATAATAGATAATGACTAGATTGTTCATTATCCTTTTATTGATTTATTTATTTTATGTCTCAGTTTTACTAAGTCACTGTTCACACTTGCTTACCAATTACTATGATTATCGTAGGTGCTTTGTTGACTAATTCTTCTTGTACCTTGATTCATGCTTAGGTTGATATATTGTCGCAAGATTATCAGTCTCGAACGTTTATTTACGTTATATATTTTATCATCAGGCGGAAAGGATTAAGCTGAGGATAAGTATCTAGTTGAGACTGAAGGTTCACTTCTCTGAACTATAACTAAATCTTGATAGTCCTTCCAATGAATATCATAAAAGTCCTGCTAGAATCATGGTTCTTAGATCATCTTGTTTCAAAGATATGAAGAATTCCATGGCCTCATGTTTTCTATAACATTTACGAACAAAGCAAGATGTTGTGTTTTTTAAGCGACTAAAAAACTTTGAGTTCTTAGTTGAGTGGAAGCAAATTATTCAGAGACATATGAAAAAAAAAAAAATGTTTTCTGTAAGAACTGCTAAATTTCATTAATATAATAATTTTCAACAAAAAGAAAAACACATATCCTAATTTGTTCGAAGGTGTCATAGAAAAAGTTTCGGCCCTATCAGGAGTAGTATGTGAGAAAAATTATGTCTTTTTTTAAAGAAAGTCTTCTGTTACCATTTCAATTATCATCATAATATTCGTATATAAGAAACAAAAAATAAAACCATGGACAGATTTAGTCAATGTTTTAAATAGTATAGGAGCCAAGGTTTAGAATTTCTCTGAAGATCTATTGACCCATCAAAAGTTTCTGACTATTGTGTCATATAGTATGTCTTTGTGCTTTCAAAAATAGATGTTCACACTTCCGGACGAGAAAATGTGAATAAAACATTGAAGACAATCTACGAAAAGTAGATCTATTTCAACTTCAAGAATATGCATCTTTACCAATCGAAAATATTTCAAAAGTAATCTTTTCAATAATTTTTTTTCTCATAACAGAATAATTAAAATTCTAACTTTACAGTTTTCATATACAGTTCCAGTACAAAATATAACGATAATGTATTTTTTTTTCTACGAATCTAAGCATTTACCTCAAATCTAAATAGTGTTTTGAATAGCTAATGAAGTTCCTTATCAAGTGTATTCTATACTGAAATTTTATAGATGAACTATGACAAGAAGTTTTCAAGTTCCAGAAAACGGTATGAAAATTAGTTGTGAATAGTACTATCTTAAAAAGGACAAAATAACGATTAACCGCGTTTTCTATGACTTTCCCTTTAACGCCGCAACGCATAATTTTGTTCTCTTTAAAATAATACTCTTCCCACCAGAGGTCCAAACAGGTCTTGTTTTTTAGGCCTGTACGGCCTGTCAGGTTTTTCGAGCGAATACAATAATGATGACAGATTAGAATACATATATCCAAAGAGGGCACTAGGTCTATTACTCAACCCGATCCTGACCCGACTGTCATAGGCATCACCCATGGTTTTCCGACTAGTGAAAGTCAGAGATTCAAGCAATTTTTGGCCTGTCACTTTCATTAGTCAGAAAACCATGGGTGATGCCTATGGCAGCTGGGTCAGGATCCGGTTGAGTAATAGACCTAGTGCCCTCTTTGGATATATGGTTTCTAGTCTGTCATCATTATTGTACACACTCGAAAAATTTGACAGGCCGTACAGGCCTAAAAAACGAGGCCTGTTTGGACCTCTGCTTCCCAACTAATTTTTACAATCTTCTGGCATCTGAAACCTATTATGTTTGATTTTTCATAAAGCTTCTTCTTGTATAATTCATCTATGAAATTTCGTTATAGAATTCATTCGATAGAGAACTTTATTGACTATTCAAATCACTCTATTTAGATTTGAGTTAAATGCCTAAGCATTGTAGAAAAAAAACTTGTATTCTTGTAATTTTCATCAGTACCATATGTTTTTTGTGTTGTTCTTTTATTCAATAGAAAAAAAAAAATGAAAATTGAATGTGATAACTGAAACGCATTGGTGATAACATAGAGACACACTTATTTATTTATATATATAGGAGTACATGAAGACAAACGAAAAAAAAAAACAAACAAAAAAAAAAAGAAGAAAGTTTATGTTGACGTGCAAAAAGTGTACATAATCGCATAAAAGATTTGTCAATTGAAAGATAAATTAGGAATGTGTGTTTGTTTATATGTGTGCGTGTGTAAAAGAGGAAAGAGTTAGACGAGAAGATTTCCTGACTAGTCATATCTACTCGTCACGAATCGTTTGTTTCAATTAAATCATCATCATTCTCACACTCATCGTTTTACAATATAGAAAGAGATTCTCATTAGAATACACACAAAAAAGAAAAAAAGAAGTTTTGTTGTTTATAATAAACGAAAAAGACAAAAAAAAAAAGAAGAAATGTGAGAGATTGAAACGAAAGAAATTTTTTTTTTTGTTTGTGTTTTTTAAACAATAAAATTCATTCACTTTTGTTCATCATCAACATCCTGTACTTCATTCTGACCATTATCATTATCACCAGGCATGTCAGTTGTCCATAACGTGAGATTGTCACGTAAAAGTTGCATAATCAATGTTGAATCTATTACAAAAATAGAAAAATTATTTTTTTTTGTTTTTATTTCTTCAAACCTTTGTATGTATCTTCATTGAGTGTATCCAATTCAGCAATTGCATCATCGAAAGCCTTAAAAATTAAAATTAAATTAAGTTTTATAAAATATTAAACATTTTTACTTGTTTAGCTAATCGACATGCACGTTCTGGTGTATTAAGAATTTCATAATAAAATACCGAAAAATTTAATGCTAAACCAAGTCGTATGGGATGTGTTGGCGGTAATTCATTTTGTGCTATATCATTAGCTTTTGTATATGCAATAAGAGAACTTTCAGCAGCTTCTTTACGATCTTCTTGTGTTGCAAATTCAGCTTTATATCGATGATAATCACCTTTCATTTTTAAATAAAATACTTTACTTTCACCTGATGCTGCATTTGGTAAAAGATGTTTATCAAGTAAATCAAGAATATCTTGACATATATCACGTAATTCTTTTTCAACCTAAATTAATTCTATATTTTAATATCAAGAACATAAACATTTAATAACAAACCTGAGAACGATATTTTTTAGTTAATGCAATTTTACTATTTCCCGATTTACTTTCTTCTTTACTTTCAATATTCGTAATTATACGCCATGATGCTCGTCGTGCACCAATTAAATTTTTGTAAGCAACAGAAAGTAAATTACGTTCTTCAACTGTTAATTCTTGATCCATCTTTGCTACTCGTTTCATGGATTCAACCATTTCTATTTTTTGAAAAAAAAAAATGATTGAAATTTTCTTTAACTTTTCTAAATAATTAAATTAATTTTTTCTTACCTTCATAACGTTCAGCTTGTTCAGCTAACTTAGCTTGATAAACATCGTCATCACGTGTAGCAGGCATGATTATAATAATGTATACTGAAAAACAAGATTACACAAGTGTTTGAATGTATAGAGAATAAAACAAACAAACAAAGAATACTAGTTGTCGATTAACGACCATATTGTTTCGGTGAACAATTCACTCATATTGAATTAAATAATGAGGCAGAGACAACAGAAATGAAAGATTATAAAATTCTATTAATTTTTTTAAAGATAATATTTTAAAATTAAGCGAAAATATTTAATTTTTAGAATTTATTTCATCTAAAGCGACATCTATAGATGAGAGACTAAAATAAACAATAATGATCAAACATGAAATTTTCTATAGAAATATTATGTTTGTTCTGAATTGTTAATTAAAGAAATCTTATAAAATCTTTCATCATATCCAGATAGAGATTAAAAACAACCTAGTTGTTGTCCTATAGTGAATTCTATAAATAACGATTTTTCTATTACAACGAAAAAAGAATCATTAAAAATGTTTATTCATAACGCAATCTAATATTTAAACATAAATATTCTTCTACAAACAAATGAATAATAATAATAATAATAATAATAATAATAATAAAGTAAAAAGACAAACGAAAAACAAATGAAAGCATAAAATGTATAATCCTATTATCTGACTATATATAGTTCATATCAAATGATTTTTATTTTATTTAATAAACTAATTGTTGAATCATTGGATTAAAGAAAGGTGATTGATATTGAAAATTATTTGTTGGTATACCAAATGTATTTGCAGCTGTCATCATTGGCATACCACTTGGAATGATTCCACCTTGTTGTATCATTGGACGATAACCAAATGACATACCAGGATGATGTACAGGATATGCATAATTTTGAGGAATAAAAGATGATGATAATGGTGGAAGTGATGATTGCATTTGAACTGGTCGATACATAATTTGTTGTTGTCGTTGTGGTTGTTGCATAATACCAAAAGATTGTGTTTGTTGTGATGCTGGCATAAGCAGCATTGTTGATGGTGGTACAACTGATGTCATAGGTTTCGATGAAATATATTCAAAACTTGATGAAGATGAAAAACTTGGACTATTATCAACTGTATTATGAAATAAAGCTGGTCGTCCAATCGAACCGACAATCGATTGACATCGATAATTATTACTAGTACCAAGAACACAATTGGAGAATGATGGTAATCTATTATATGATGAACCTGATTGACTATAACCATTACAAAGTGGACGATCGACTTTAATAAGACTAATAAATATAGTTTTCTTCTTTTTTTTGTTTTCGATAAAATTTAAAATAATTAAAAAAACTTACCGTGTTCGTACAATTGGTGGTGGTGCTTCTTCTTGCATTTCTTTTTGAATAAAACGTGGTGGTGGTGTATATGATTGTTCAATAACACGTTCAACAATTTCTTGAGCTTGCGGTCGAATAATAACCTAGAATAAGATAATAAAAAAGAACAAAAAAACAAAAAAATATTTTTTTGTTTTCTTTCGACATTTTTCTCTTCTTACTCTTTCCATAGTAGGTGGTTCAGGTGTTGGAGCACGTTCAACAACTCTTTTAATAATCGGAGGTGGAGTTGCTGCACGAACTATATCTTGTGAACATCTTGTTTCACGTGTGATCATTTGACTTCTATATTCATAATCATCACTACTTTCACTGTCCGATGAAAATGAGTCCGGTGAATATGATCTTTGAGGCTCATTATACATATTTGGATAACCAGCTGACATCAATATTGAATCAGTACCATAACCAATAATCGGATTTATTCCATTTGGATAGACAAAACGATAGGACATTATTTTTTTTCTTCTGTTTGATTTATATGTATGTATTAATGAAAATCGATAATGAAACTGTTATGAACTCTCACATAGTTGTTACTATCACCGTTACGGGTCAATGCACTATAGAGAGACCAATGATAGAACATATCCAAATAAAGAAATATATATATAAATATATGATGAAGAAGAGACGATGACCTCGTTGTTGATATTCAAAATGAATGAATGAAATTTTCAATATTGCTCATAATCGATTTAATCAGTTATTGAAACTATCAATTAGTTTTGAATATAAAAAAAAAAAGTAAACATGTCTTCCATATAGCCGTCCTTTATTAAATATATAGCTTCCTATGCATGATGAATTACACAAAACTAAACAACAATCATTAACATTTTTTCTAATTTTATTTTGATTGAAGAAAAAATGAATCCATTGCTTGTCCATTATTCACAGGAGAAAAAAAAAAGAGAATGTAGTTTTCATTTTTATTTGCCCAATCCTGATGCAAATTTAGCTGATGCAAGTCGTTTACCCAAACCAGAAGCAAATTTAGCTGATGTTAAACGTTTGCCAAGACCACTAGCAAATTTAGCTGATGTTAATCGTTTTCCAAGACCACTAGCAAATTTTGCTGATGTTAATCGTTTGCCAAGACCACTAGCAAATTTAGCCGATGTAAGACGTTTATCTAATTCATCAGAATCTTCTGAACTGAGATCATCCCATTGTTCATCACTATTTAAGATTATTGTTGATTCAATAGTGTTGAAATGGAATAAAAACAGGACGGCTAGAAGACCAGCAATAAGAATTAATTTTGTCTTCATATTAATGATTATAAAATAAATATGACGATGATAATGATAGGTTAATAGTAGGAACTGAAATGAAAGAAAGATATAATAATCAATCATTGTTTAACAAAAAAAAAAAAAAAACAAGAAAAAGACAAATCGCTAGAGATAATACAACAAATATGTTATACTATGAATGAATGATAATGATATAGGAGTAGAATATGTTCATACACGAACTCGTTTTATAAAGATTCTATATGTTAGTTTCCGAAAAGATAAACAATTGATTCTTTTTATAGTTTCCTATCATACTAATAATCAATTGAATATGAACGTATTAACAAAATAAGATTGCTTCTTATTTTGTTTGCATTTGTTCGTTTGAAATCTCTTACAAGAAGAAAATGATTATACTGTAAAATGAATCGATAGATTAATTGAATGAATGATTTACATATGTTAAAAAAACAACAACAACATAAGAAATGGAAAATTGATGATGATTAATGGACAAATAGTAGAAAAGAAGTAATTGAAAAAGGTAGGCGAATCTTTTCATCTATTGATTAGATAAATAACAGTAAACACATGTCCGTAATGAACTAAACTTTTTTATCGGTTACTTCACATCTTTACTTAGGAAGAAAAAAAAAACAAAGAAGCAAGTTCGAGTGCATACTTTGTTCTAAATATGAAAAACATAGAGATTGAAAACTAACAACAAGGTCAAGAATTCCTTACCGTTGTTGCTTCTATATATATATATATAATGGTATTCAATAGAATTTTCTTTCTTATTAGTGCATTTGATTGTTCTCAATCTCAGGAGATAGGACAAACCGAAACATTAGAACCTTCTGCATCTTAGCTAAAATACAAATACATGCATCCTTGAAAATCTATTTGATCGTTCACAGTGGAATATGTTCTTAATTTATGAAGATCGATGCATTTGATGTTGGCTTTTTTATTTATATGGCATTCATATATTAAACGATGTCTATTCTAGTTTTATTCGTCTGATCGATTTTAGATAATATCGATTAAATGTAAGATTGAAGAAGAAGAAAAACGGATATTAAAGAAAACGATTTGATTTTTTTTTTCTTAATTCATATTATATATTTTTCTTCGGCATATGTCAATTTCTATCATCTGAAATATAAGATTACATATTGAAAAGAAATCGTTTTTTATGATAGAATATAGTAATGATGGGTGAGATGTCACATCATTGAATATAAACATTGTTGATTTTGAGAAAAAAAAATGTAATCATTTCATGCGTTTATATTTCTATATTTATGCACGATTAATATTAGCTAAATATAGAAATCTTTCATTTTTATATGTAGAATTGATTAAATATTAAAATAAGAGTTTCAGATGATAGAAATTATTAAATAATATTAAATTTTAGATATTAATTTTTTTAAATAATTTACATAATACATTTATCTGAAATTATTTAGTAATAAGTTATGAATTAATTCTATTAGTATAGTGTAACTTTAAAGAGTAACATAAATATATATCTGATAAATCAAGCATAATTTTACTGTTAATATTTTTTCAAAGTTCTTCTCTATTCTTAATTTGATTAAAATACTTTTTTCTATCAACAGGTAACAATTGAAATTCTTTATAAAATCATATATGATAAAACCTCAAAATTGTTTGAGATCTATTTGAAAGAAAAAGATGCAAAAGAAAAGACATACAAATAATTGTAAAAAATAAAATCATAAATTTCGTTACTCAGGTTCAAAGCGAACAAATAATATTGAGATAAAAATGATTAACACTCCTACGTAGATCTATCAATATTGCAGTTCTTTACACGCACACACCTGTTGAACCAAAGTAAATATGCCACAGGAGTACAACGGCGCCTACTTCATAAGACAAAAATATCAATTCTCATACCGCACGCTTGTTTACACTGCCGCTCGCATACAGATGATTTAGCGCTGTTAGCATTTACGACTTTCGGTTCCAGCTATAAACGATTGCAGGAGTGTGCGTTCTACCCAAATTTGAATTATATTTTATTAATACAAAGAATTCGTATCGTCATCTATAATAAAAATTTATTTCATAACTGGCACCAATGAGGATTATCTGGCTATTACAGACGGCTCAGAGACATCAACATAACTAGCACTATCTGAAAATGACTTGATTCTGGTAATTTAAATAGACTTAAAAAATACTTATTAGTTTTGACAAAAAACTTTCAAAAAAAAAGCCGTCGGTAGTTATCACATGAACTAGCGAATTATCTATACAGAAACAGGCCTGTATTGCTGAAATCGCATGATGGTCTTGACTATTTCTTATTAAAAAAATGATCAAAAATTAATCGTAACTAATCTGCACGAAAAGACTTGACTAGTTTTACAAACGAGATGTTTGCAGAATAATTAATTACCACATCTACTTGATTTAAATCCATTATACGATAGTTTATAGAATAAACTAGTGTAAACTATGAATTGGTATCACATAAAAGCATAGACAATATTGATAGACGAAATAAAATATTCTGTTAAGCAAAACTGAAAAGCAAAAATATTTTATACTTCAGTTTATTGTACAATTATGTTTGATTTGAAAATACAGATGGGACAATATTTGTTAAATGAAATATACCATTTTGTGTAGAAGTTCAACGGCTATGTTTTGGTACACAAAAAAAGGTTGTTTCAATCAAATGAAGAACAGAGAAAATACTACAAATGAAATTATTTATGAGCCAGCTGTTATGATCATTCTGTTGGTTTTTTTTCTGATATAAATAAGTAATTGTTGATTGATACTGTTGACCGTGTAAAGTGTTAAATTATAATATTATATATAAATTATTTTCCATTCATTCTATGAAGTGTAATCAATGATTTTTATTCATTATAAATTCTTTTTATTAAACATATGAAATAGACAATTTTGAAAAAGTAGTTTGATAGATATTATTTATAGACTGACTTAGATTGAGCAATAAGATCTTGTTCAATCTACATTTGATTTGAAGATAGTAAGATCGAGTCGCAACAAACATTGTTCTAATGTTTTGTAAAGACAAAAAACTACTTCGTTGTGGGTACATTACTTCGATACTGAAACTATACATATATATAATCGAAAGTCTTCATCGCAATAGAAGACCATAGATCTTCTATTATGTCCACGCGTATAAAGTTTTATAATCCTAAAAACAAGCATATTTTTATGTAAATAGACTAATTAAAATTCTTATTTTTCAAGATATTAGTTAATTAATGGTGGATCTGCTATGTTTAATGTTACGTATATAAAGAAATTGTGTCGAATTATGCATTTTGTATATCAAAAAATTGATTCTAATTTTATTAGTCTGAGAATCATCACTGAACTCGAGTTTTCTTTTTACAAGTTTATTTTGTATTTAGTCACAACTCTTTTTTTCACATCTAGTGGTTCTCTCAGGTATCGAAAACAATTTTTCATTGCCATTCTATTAGAAGTCTTTATAGTTCGACAAAGTTTAATGTACTATGTAATTACAATTATCACATTTGTTTCAAAAGTAATTAGATAATAAGAAAGCTCTTAAGTACCTTTTGAAAGTTCATTAAAATTTGATTTGAATTCGTCGAAAATACGTTTATCTGAACCTATGAGAACTTCTTAGGTATTAAAATCTTCTTTTATTGATAAATGTCAAATACCACCTCAGTTAGGTTACATTGTTATAAATAATTGTTTTTTCTATCTTATGAAGTTATATTTTCTACGGATGCACCTGCGATGTTTTTTCCTGGATCTGCTATTGAACGTACTCTTTCTGATGACATTATTTTCCACTTGAAATTCGATATCTAGTAAAGCACTTTAGCTCTAACCACTATACTTGAAAGTCAATTGATGTTCTCTTTTTTGGACTTATATTCGATAGTCTTCAAACAAATATCATATTTGGAATCAGCATATAAAACTGAGTCGATACATGTGTGTTTGAAATTTTTGTTTGCGGTTTTTGTTAAAAATTTCGATCAAGTTCTGACTTCTGATTTCTCTTGAAGACATGTCAGATAATGAATTTCATCAAAACAACTACTCATATGTTTAGACACTTCTGCTTTTGTCTTCGAATGACATTTCACAATTTCCAGAGTTAAGTTTTCACTGTCAAAATAGTTCTTTAACGAAATTCATTTTTCGAGCATAACTTCGAGAGAAGCCTGGAACAAAAATTTGACCGAAATAAAAAAAAAATCGTAGAAACAATTTCAAATGAAAATATTTCGTTCAAGTTCTCAATGTTGATTTCAAGTATGATATTTATTTAAAAATTATCGAATATATAAGTCCAAAAAAGACACCAATTGACTTCCACGTATAGCAATTAAAGCAAAAGTAATTTACTAGATATTGAATTTCAAGTTTATCAGAAAGAATACATTCAATAGCAGATTCAGGAGAAAACATCGCAGGTGCATCCATAGAAACTATAACTTAATAAGACAGAAAAAAACAATTATTTGTAACAATATGACTTAACCTTGGTGGTATTTGACATTTATCAATAGAAAAAAGATTTGAATATCTGTGAAGTTCTTATAGATTCAGATAAATCTATTTTTCGACGAATTCAAATTGAATTTTAATAAACTTTCAATTCAAATACAGTTTATTAGAAGTTTTAGAAAATACTTAAAACTACTCTCAACATCTGAATAATTTTGAGAAAAAAGTGATATTTATAATCAGTACATTTAGTCCTATCAACCTACAAAGGTTCCTAAGAGAACGATGATAAAAAAAATTGTTTTCGATACCCGAGAAAGATCCTAGATGTGAAAAATTAACTTGTAAAAACCAATTCGAATTTATTGTTGACTCTCTGACTAATAAAAGTAGACTCAGCATTTTTACAATGCATATCAGATCTGTAATTTGATATTCGTTCTTCCTTTATATTTTTACAGTTTTAGAAGTAAATATTTTTATTTTGTATAAAAATAAAAAAAACAGCCTTGACTGATTAACTTACCTATCGATAATAGAAAAGAATATGCTAGAAATAAAAAGCTTTTAAAAGAACTGTATGCACTATTTATTTCGATGATTTTTATGTTAACGTGCTGTCAACTTATATTACTTAATGATACTTTATAGAAATTAAAAACATAGTGTCAATTCAAATATAAATCTAATAGAAGTTGACATTTAGAATATTATCATTAATAGATACTATTCAAGTCATTTTTAAAATTCATTTAAACAACAGGAAATTTAGTCTCATATGAGAGAAAGTCTTTTTCATATTTGTTATTTGTTGTGATTGAGTTAATTTTTTCTTTGAGAATTTTTCCAATTTTCTTCTTCTTTAACTTTCTTATAAGTAAGTGTAAGGTGACTCATATTAAGTTTTCGAAATATTGTTTTTATAATACTACATCAATGACACGCAATTTGTGAAATGAAAAAAATAACAAAAAAAAAACTCGACAAAAATGTCCTTAAAAATGAAGTTTAATATGGTAGTGTGTCGAGTACAGTTTTAAAGGACTTTTCTTTTTTTTTTTTCTGTAATCAATGCAATTTAAAATCAACACTATAATTTTTTTCGATAAATAAAGATTAAATTATCGATGATAATGTTTTGTAATCTGATGAAGAACATGACTGAGTTTCATATGTCAATCAATAATTTCGACAGAAATGTGAAATTTAACATTATTAATCTATAAATACAAACATATCTAAATGCATGCCATGTTCATTCACATATTCTACTCGAATCTCTATTGTTTGTACAGGAAAAAAAAACAAAGTAAAATTTAAGTGGTTGCATTAGCAATAAAATATAATTACAGCAAATGACAATGTTTGGTTTTATGTAAGAAAATTCCAACAAATATGTAACAGCATAAAAAAAAGAAAAAAGAAGTCAATAAATTCATTTTTGTTTTTCTTTTAAAAATTTTTGTTCGATAAGTGTTTGATTTTTATTAATATTATTTTTGAATATGACTTCAACAATATTGTATAGAGATAAACAACAACGTCATTTGTTTTTTGATCATTTACAGTCATCTGAAATATCATTATTGTCGAATGATTCTTTACATCAATGGCTTTTAATTATTGGTATAGCTACAGTTGTTTTATTTGTATTAATATTGTGCATTAAATGTATTCTTAAAACATGTCGTCTTTATCATAGTACTGATCTTAATAAACAAAATTCAATCTCTCGTAAATACTCTTCTCGTCAAACATTATCAAATATTGATAATAACTCTAAACGTTCAAGCTATACAAAAGTTCAATGTGATAAATCAACTAATTATACACGTCAGATGTTACATAAATATTCAAATCATGAACAAATTCAGGATATTAATTATCAATATTCCCATCCAGATGAAATTTCACTTATATCAGTGCATGTTGTTTGATAAAAAAAAAGAAACAGTCTTCCACATAAACTAATCAATTATTAAGATTTGTCTTTTTTGTTTTGTTTCTGACAATGTATTGTTATAGATTCTTATTTATTATATGCATGAATAAATGTTCAAAAAAAAGGAAAAGAATGATTTAAATGAATTATTACCTACGTTATACATTCTTCTTATTGTCTTTCTTTACAATTGATAGTTAATAGCTTCAGTAATAATACAAAGAATATCCCTATGGATTGCATGACATTATCGATAGCTAATGACAATAATTCTTTTTTTTGTGTGTGTAATATGTTCTTACTTTTATTTTTATTTTTTATTCAATTATACTCAAAATGAATAGACTAATGTCTTCGGTGAAGAATTGCATCACTGAGTCTATTGAACAATGAAAAAAAAAAGAGAGAGAGAGAGAGAGAAAATTATATTGTTTTTTTTTTTTATTTTTCTCTATTGTTTAATGTTTGTCTTGTTTGGAAACAGATTTAACCATATCGTTATTTTTCATTGCTGATTCAACAACTGATCGTTTCCAAAAATGACGTTGTGGTAGACGTTTCCAAAATCGTGAGTTAATTGCACGGGTATCAAATTTATATGCTGGATAATAAGTATCAAAATCGAGCCAATCACTATCAGCAAGAGCATATTCATCATTTTCAAGTGATGCTGTCGATAAAAATGTTATACTAATAATAACGATGAAAAACCATAAGCATGTGTTCATCAATGTTGAATGCATAGTTACTAGAAATTTAAATTAATTTAATGAACATTTGTTTCTGGTTTTTTTTTTTTTTTTAGTAAAATATTTTTAACCTGTTTATTTATGTAATAGAGATAATAATTGGTTGTAGGATGAAGTATTGAATGACGCCAAAAATGGAAAAAGAAATAGACAAACAAAAAACTTTGATATGAATTTCTCTCGAGGTTTTTCTATTCTCTCAAGAACAAATAGATTTCGGATTTTGTTTTTTTTTCTCTTTTCTCTCTCTCTCTCTCTCCGACCATGTATAGAGTGAATCCTAAATATTGCTGCGATAGAAAAAATTGGAATATCTTTACTTCAATTCCTTCAAATGAGTTAACTTTTTATATTAATCATAGAAGTTTGTTCAAAGCTTGTGTTGTTTTTCGTACGACGGATGTAAACAAATACTACTATTAGATACTATTGTTGACTTCAGTCAGAAATTTTCACCTTTTGGCAAGTATGAAAAGCTGTTAGCGCAATTCCTGTGGGATTAATATATGAACCAAAATGTAGCTGTTGCTGCTAATCACACGGAAATTGTTTTTTTTTTCTATCTATTTTGGGATACATATCTTTGTCATTCTTTTACTTAATCCTTCTGAAATGCAATAAGGAATTAGTTTCATAGATTAGAATGAGATTTTATTGATATACGCCTGTGAAGAAGAGGGAGAGATCCAAAGTTTTACTCCTAAAGTTCAACACTTCTTTCAGATCGTATTTTACAAAAATACATATGTAATGCTCCATGATACCTTTTAATAGTCACCATAGAGAATATAAAGAAGAAATTACAAAAATAACTTTATTAATGATATTATATTGATGCATCTAGAGAAAATTTTAAGAATTAGCTTGTTTCAATTCCTATCTGATAACTAAAACGGACAATTGAAGACTTTTAGGCACTATATGACTAATTTCATTTTGAAAAACCTGTATTTCATGTTTGAAAGTTTTAAATATTTCCAGGACGAATTTCTTTAATATGATCAACAATTGTACTTAATAGTAATATTTGCCTATATTAATATTTCAATTTCTTTATTTTCGTCTTATTTATAGCTCACTTCGTATATCTAAAATAAAATAGATTTTCTACGCATATCGAATAATAAACATATTAATCAATGCAATCAATTGCTATTATAATTCAAACACTTATTATGTTCAACTTATTTTGACTTGATTTCAGAATATAAAAAAACAAAAATAATATATATTTTTTTTGTTCTCTTGATTGGACAGGCGTAGATAGATGTAGAGATGTGTAGCATTTTGGAAAATTTAAAAGAGTGAGTTACTATTACAGGATCTACTGCTTACATTGACGTCTGCGTTCGCTACAACACTCAGATACAAACTTCATCGAAATCTGCTCTTTTTGTAACGGTGTGTTTCATTGCTTTACTCCGCACTAATTACACTGAGCCGATGTTGAGTAAATTGAAATTGTACGTCCCTAAATAGGAATGCAAAAAAATCTGGAATTGATTTGACACTGAATTCTTGTTATTTGACTTTATGTCTGAATTTGAACAAATTTACATGAGCTGTTTGAAAAAAGTTTTTTTCCTTTAAATAGAACAAACTTGTTTTGTTTTGTGAAAGTTTCCCTCAATATGATTATGGCATCTTATCGTATCAAATCGTAAAACTTCGGGTGTTGTTGTATCTTTAAATGTAGTCTATATGAAATACAAAATCGTAAAATAAAGAATAATTAAATGATAAACAAATCGGAGATAAAAGCAGTTGAAGTCTTTTGTGAGTTTTTGATTCTTCGACTTCTTATTAAAACAAACAATAGAAAAAGAAAACCTTTGATTTATAAGTATAATGAGAGAATGAAACTTTGAAATGATCTTATGCTTCTTGTTTTTTCTTATTAGTTTAGTTTGTTTTTTAATCATTCATTCTCTATTCAATTTGTATTCGAACTTGATTATAGATAAGCAATTTCATATCCGGAGATAGAAACTCGTGTTACACATATCAATCATTGTTTATTTTCATCGTTGTCAATATTTAATATATTGACAAAGGTGAGACAAACATTCGTTCAACGACAGAATATTCTTTAATGAAAAAAAAAGAACATTTATTGATGTTTCAGTTTCAAAAAGAAATTTAACAAAAATTTTCTTTTTTATTCTAAGGAATTTTATATTTATTTGATATTTAGTTAGAAACAATGGAATTTCGTTTTCTTTTATTATTATTTTTTAATAAATAAAGATCGATCATATTTGATCTTAACGAGTAATTAAAATAAAAATCAATAATTCATTACTTTTATTAAAAATATAAATTTAAGAAATAATTAATCCAAAAGCATCAATATATTCGTGTTTTCCCGTAATTCTTTTAGTTTTCCTTGTGTTCACTATAATTAAATAAGAAAATTTAATCTTGAAGTTCCATTTACTTATATGCAATAAACTAAGTATACCATCATTATTTTTATGTAAATTATGTTTGTGTTTAACATCTTTCCATAATTAACTAAATATAAAAAACTTAAACAGACATATTGAACTAACAATGTTATTGACTATTGCACAAAAAATTAACAATATAAATTAATATGTCTATTTAATCTTGATTTGCTCTACTATCTCGTATATTTCACAAGATTTCTAGTGTTATGTCATTTCTAAATGATGGTATATATTAAACAGGATTTAGTGAAAAATGTAGAAAGAACAATTATTGAATAGAAAAATAAAGAAAGTAAGACAATATGCTAAATAAAGAAGATAGAAATGAACTTCAACATAGGAAAAGTAAATATTGAATATAATATAAGTTTTTTTAATAATAACAGACAGAAATATTTTATCTAATAGTCCGAAAAATTCTACATTGATTTCACTTTTCTTAGATTTACTATTGAGTAATTCAAGTTAACATGGAAAATTTGTTTGTACGTTTTATATGGTTTCGAAGTCAACGGTCTTGAACTCATTTAAATCATGCAATATTCATATCCAACAGTAGTTTTCTTTTATTTTATGTCAAAAAATAAAACTGAACTTTGTACTGGAAATAATCGAGATGTGAAAAAACCGTTCACTATTACAATCTTACGGAATAATACATCTTGTCTTTACAATATATGACTAATATACGACGAGAAAGAGAGCAACATTTTCATACTGAATGTTTATGTGCACTATCGTTAGCATAACGGCAGTAGATTGCTAATCAGAGAAAAACTATCGGTATACCACAGTAGATTGGTCGTTCGTTTAAAGTATGTTCACATTTTCAAAATTGCCAACATATATTAAAAGGTAATTTCTAAGAGTATCCTCGAATTACTGATTCATAAGAAAGAATGTTTGTTTGAAATTTCGAAGATTCTTAGCAAATTACTACAAATTTTTAACGTTTATGGACTTAGCGGTTCTATACTTTGTACACTTATAACTTCATTTATCTGTATGAATATTAAAGAAGCTTTCGTAATTTCTTGACAATTTCTCAAGTGTCCCATACATTTTTCTCAGAATTTCTTTCTTATGGATGAGTAATTACGAAGGCACCTTGAAGAATTACTTTCTCATGTGTAAGTAATTTTGGAAGTTTTATTTTCACGGAAATCTAAACACTACTGAACTGTTTAAGCATCAGACAACGCTATGTTGATTGTTGACATATCAGCGGGTTTTTTTTGTCCTTATCGACAAATACAACTAGCCTAACGCACATTATTTCGAACAATTTCCTAGTGATTCTTATTCTGTTTGAATCATGACTAATGAAGGAACATATTCAACTATAAATCGCTTAGTTATGACTCATTCAGACTTGAAAAATCCTGAAAAGGTTTCTGTTCATAGACCTTCCTTATCAAGCTATGACTATTTTATCGAATTTCCTGCTTAGAGTAAGGTATTCACAAAAAAAAAATAAAAAATAATGAATGTTCACTTGAATTTTTACCTATAAGGTTCTTGATCCTTAGGATATTCGGAAAGTTTCAGTCGAAGCTGATGGTTCCTTCTCGATATATTGAATATTAAAGAAAACAATTATATGCCGAGAAGGAAGCATACGTTTTGACTGAAATTTTTTCTTTTAATTTTTCTATGAATATCTGACCATAAGCTAAAAATCGGATAAAATGTTTATTACTCTAAAAAGTAAGGTGTATAGAGAGAACTCGTTTTTGTGGCTTTTCTATTTCCATTGAGTCTTATTTTTGAGAAAAATATCATTTCGATTGTCAATTAACAGTTGGATATGTTCCTTCATTAGAGCACCTGTTCGATAGCATACTGACTGTATTGTGGTATTGTACCTATTCTTGCGGTTAGTAGTATGTGGTTAGGTGGTTTGTATGATAAACTCAAGCTAGCCTTCTTTCAAGAACTACAATTAGTATTGGTTGTAGAAAAGATATCAGAATATTGAATTAACTGCCCAAACAACACTTCATATCACAAGGCAGTCGAAAAGCGAGGATATTCTTCCTGCTTCCAGTCATAATAAACAAGAATAGTTAAAAAGATAAATTAGTTTTATATTCAGCAAATATCTTCCGATTCTAAAACTTCAGATATTATTCTTTTCTGCACTTTTCCATCATGGTTATTATATACTTTGTGTAATATTTTTTAACTTCTTTGCCATTTTTGGTTTTCATTGTAATATTCTTTAATATTGAAAAACAGTATATTTTCAGATTTGAAATGATATATCAATTATTTGATGTCATTAAATTTTTTCTGTAGCCATCAGTTAAACATTTGATTCATTTTTTCGAATGTTATTTATCTATGTATGAAATGATTCAATTTTAAAACTTTAGATAAAATCATTAAAACAAGTTATGAAGCAAACAAAAAAAAATGGGCAATATAAATCATATGAAAATACCAAAATAACAATTTTATTTTCATAGTAATGTTTTGCACAATTGCTTTGAATATTTCAATTATATAAGCAATATAGTTTAATTTTGCTGATGATTTCTATTATTCATTAACACATAAAAATCAATTTATTTTTGGTCTTAAGTTCTTGTCAGCCATTTGCCTTTCATCAAAATGTGTCATCAATGCCTATCAGAGATCACTGTCTCAGTCATTATCAAGTTCATATATATACCTAAAAGACTATTATCACACTTCAATATTTGACATCATGATTAATATATTTATTTCACACTAAAGAAGCCGCCAAAGGCAACGAACAGTAACCTTCGACCCCTGCAAATTTTCGCCAAATTATATCAAAGGTCGTCTGTATAAAGGCAATGTTTTCATTATAAAACATTACTTTTGCATTATATACATACGCATCAAAATATGCAATTCCTTCCACAGCAACAACAATACGGTAGTTTGTTGCCACAAGTAAAACTTTCTGTAATATAAAATATATAAAATATAAATTTGAATTTATTTGAGTGTCAACAATGTACACCCTATTCATGTTATAATAATTGTTTTCCTAATTATTATCAACAACAACAACAATATCCAGCATTTAGCTCATCGTATCCTCAACAATATTATTGTTCACCACAACAATCATCACAATATCCATATTACTCTCAACAATGTTCAATGTTGCCACAAAATGCTTATGGTTATAAACAATGTTGTTCACAACAACAACGTGTTTTTAAAGATGCATCAGCAACTTTAACAATAAAATATCATAAAAAAAGGCAAACAAAATTAGCATAATGAATCATATATTTATTATTCTCAGACATTTTCATTAAAAAAAAGAATTATCATTTTATTATACACTAGATATCTTTTTTTTTCTCATGTTTTATTAAATTAATATTAAAATTTATTCAACTATTGAAATAGTTTCATTCGAACTGAGTAGAAGATGTAGAATGCTATTGTTTAGTTAATTGTCAAGAGTCAGAGATTCAATTGAATACATATTAACGTGAAAAGTACTGCGAATTTTGATGAAAGAACATGAAAGACCAGTTTTTTTTTAAGTAGAATAAAAAAAAATCAATTATAACTCTGTCAATAAATGTCATATGAAATATTCAAAAACAAATATACTTTACTGCACTAAAGTTGCCAATCAATGACTTTTTGTCTTATTTTAAATTTCTTTGAATCAACATGACTAGATTTGATAATTAATCATTGATTAAAGTTTTTTTTTTTTTTTTTGAAGGAGAAAAAGGAAAATGTCCAAACAATGCATTTTAAATGAAAGTTCAATCAAACAAATAAAACAAAATTTTTTTTTATCAATGAATAATATTATTGCATGTCAAATTATATATTCATTTTGACATCTTGAAATTTTTGTATATTATTTCTCCATCTTGTCTTTATCTTGAAAAACTGAACAGTAATAAGTACAGAAGAAAAAAAAGACGAGACAGAAATGACTGACGAAAAAAAAAAACAAAACAAAAGAATGAATAGTAAATAAAAATGAAAAGTAAATACACAATCTCTCCTTCCTCTCTTTCTCTCCCTCTCTCTTTGCCTTTCTCTTTTTACTTTTTATACTTCATGCACATACACCGGGGTATCTGCTCGTAGCCTGATTTAAAAAGAGGAATGAATGATAACTATCACAAGCAAACGAGAGAGAGAGAGACAGAGGAATACACAGAGAAAGACAAAAACAAAGAACTTATTAAACAGCAAACATTTGTGGAATATATAAATCCGAATCATTCAATGATTGTGAAAGATCGTCAAGAGCAACAAGATTATTAGGCATTGATGACGATGGATTGGTTGTTATTCCAGGTGAATCAATATTTCCATTTGTTGTATACATACTTGCATAAAGACGACGCTTAAATTTCCAGAAAGAAAAACATTATTTTAAAAACAATCATCAAATATTTTCTCTCACTTTTTTTGCTTCATTTTCCATAATTTCATACGAATCTGTATAATGTAAATTCGTATTTATATGTGTTCCATACATATGATAATGGTGTTGCTGTTGCTGTTGTTGTTGTTGTAAAATATGATGTTGTTGTTGTTGCTGTTGTTGTTGTGAAGGATCTGAATATGGTAATTCAATAAGTCCATTTTTACCTTTATTTGTTGTAACTAATGTTCGTCGAACAATAGGTCGTAATTTATACAAAGGAGGTTCAGGTGTATTAGCTGTGATACATTTTGGACATAACCATGTTTCAGGTATATCATCACTAAATACGCCTTCATTTGTAGATACATCAGAATGAGTAGTCTAAGAATTTTTTGACAAAAAAAAAAAAATTATTTTTTTGTTTTCTTCTTATTGTCTGAAATAAGAATAAACATACATGAAAACATGGTAAATGATGTATTTCCATACAACGTTCACATTCATAAAGAATTTCTTCAGGTTTTAATTGAGATAATTTTCTTGAACCTTTTTTTTTTAAACAAACTTGACATGTTGCTGTTGATGGTAATATTGGTGCAATACATTGTTTTGTTAAACAACATTGTTTCATTTTTCCAACACCACCAAATTTTGGCATATCTTTACAATGTACACATTCAGAACAATCATCTCGACAACATGGCTCACATTGTTTACATCTAGTAACAAAGAATAAACAAATGAATTAAAAATTTTTAAATATATATGTATATATATTATTCTATTTGAAATATACCGAACACGTTTATGTCGATCTTTTGCATTCATATTTTTATCTGTTTGATAATGTTGTTGTGTTGGTGATTTTGTTGGAGTATATTGATTATAATTATTAACATAATGTTGTTGTTGTTGTTGTTGTTGTTGTTGTTGTGGAGGTGGAAGAGGTGGAGGAGGAGGATGAGAAGAATAATAATTTGATGAATTTGAACTAGCTAATGGTCCACTTAATAAAACAGTTGTTGATGGATGTAATGTAACAACATTTGTAGTTGGTTGTTGCATTGATAATGTATCATATTGATGAGAAGGATGAAGATGATGAAATGATGATTGTTGCATATTGTTATTATCAGGATTTTTACGTTTAATGCCTCGAAAAGTCTCCGTTTCGTTCTTAAACATATAAAAGTATATTATGTCACAAATGACGAGAATAACAACAACAACAAAAAAAAAAGAAAGCATTTGAATCAACATGACTTTTGTAATAGTTTATTTAGAGCTCCGACTTTATGTACATGTGTCTATGTTATTTATTGTTTTTTAGCTTACTTGATTGTTAATTGTATCGAATGAATATTGATGATTATAGTTGTAATGAATTATCGATTGACCAGTTATTGATAATAAAGTATCATCAGAAGCATGATCAATAAGAAGACGCTAGATTAAAGATTAGATTATATTTGTGTTATCATACAAGGTTTTAAAAAGAGAAGAAATAATAATAAAAAAAAAAGAATGAGAGGTCAAAAGAGCTTTTTTTTTTTGTGTAAATGTCTTTATCATAGGATATATAGACATTGTCAATAATAAGTTTTTATTGATCAGATTTTTAAATAAAAATTATTTAAATAGATAAGACATAAACGATAAATTTCTACATTCGAAGACAAGACTAAATGCCAATCTTTGTCAATGTTTTCTTTTCCTCTTGGAAACTGTTTCTTTCCATATAAATTTAAGAATCGATAAAAGAATTTTTTTTTTTATTTTAATTTACCTCCATTGATTCCAAAAGTTGTTGTGGTTGAATAAGATCTTCCGGGATCGATTTGTCTTTTAATTTGCGTAAGAGAGAACATAATGTTTGTAGACCGTCTAGTTCAAATCGAGTCAAATGTTGATGTTGCTGTTCAATGTCTTTATTATTATTATTATTATTATTATTATTATTGTTCACTAGCAACAATCGACTTGTTCGACAAGGTTTCAGATCTAAAGACAAATTTATTGTACGCATGTAATAGAGACAGAAAGGGAATGAAACAAAAAAGGCTTCCTTCTTACTGTTCATCATTTGAACAGAATAACAATAGACCTCTCGAAAAATACGAAGGAGAGTAGCAAGTAATAAATGAGCATATTAAAGAAAAGAGACAAAACATGATGTTTTGTAACAAAAAAAAAAAACAAGACGAGATGTTCTAATTGACAAACATATTTCTACCTGTGTATGTGCTATTTGATTACAGTTATAGTTTCTGTGTTTGTTTTTTTTTTTTTTTTCTTTTTACAGAACTAAAACTCAAGACAATCAATACAAGTAGGAATAAATAGGAGCAATGAATAAGAAGAGAGAGAGAGAGAGAGAGAGAGAAAAAAGAAGAAAAAATGACGAGTGTATGGAAACAACGAGTTTTTCCCTTTTTCGCCCTTATGCGTTCATTCATAAAAGATTTGAGTAATTTGCACACAGATTTCTTTTCTTCTGCTCTTTCTCTCACTCTCACTCTCTCTCTCTCTCTTTTCTTTGAATGATCAGAAGACAGCAATAACATAGAAATAGAGGGAAGGAAAATTTTGAACAAAGAACAAGGCACAAGCGCGCGTTGTATGTAGCGAGAACATATTATTATGATTGTGTGTGTGTGATTGCACAAGCAAGAGAAAGTGATTGACGAGTGAGAACAGAGGGAGAGAGAGAGAGAGGGAGAGAAAAATGAGAACGTCGAATGATCAGGTTGTAATAGCGGTAGTACGCATTAATTATTCTCTTCTTTTTTTCCCTTTTTCTTTTTTTTTCTCTGTCATTTTAAATAAGAATTTAAAATTGATGGTCTTTCTATGCTTATGTGTTTACAAGTGCAACCTATGCCCACTTTTGAAAATTTATAATAAATGTGTGCGTAGTTGTTGTCCAAGAAACAGAAAGATTTCATTTATTAATTAGCAAATACAAACATTTCTTTCTTTTCAAACACGCATATATATATATAAAGGAAAAATTAACAACAAAAATCTATGTTCTCATTTATGTTGATTCTCTTTTGCTTTCTTTTCCTCTTAGTAATGTTTGAGATTGTCAATATAAGATAAACCAGACAAATCATAACGACAAAGTATTTGTGTTTGAGCAATAAAATGAATATAGGATAAGATGAGAAAGAAAAGAAGTTTTGCAGATCAATACGACAACATCAAATAATAAGAAAGAACATGATAATGATTGAATTTTACTGTCAGAGACATGTTTAAACGAATGAAATTAAATAGTCAATCAAGAATTGAACTATTGTATTTCTTTCTCATTCTTTTTTTTCTTCTATTCTACTTCTTTCAAGGTAAATGCATCAAATTGTTATTTAGAAGATTTCTAAATAAGAATTTTCAAAGAAACAAAACAAAAAATAAGAAGAAAAAAAAAGAACGATTTCTAATATGTGATCATAAAAGAAAATTCTTAAAATGAATGAAGAAAATAAATATCGTATTTCGTTGTCGATTATTTTCGGTTGAATGAGCGATATAAAAAAAAAAAATAAATTCTTTTCTTTTGTTTCTTTCTTCTCATACAACTGAATGACAATTATTCACAAAGTTAATCGATACATTTTTTTTATTTAGTCAATATAAAGAAAAGAAAGAAAAAAAAATCCTTGAAAAGCTTCTTACCAAATCTGACTTATTCGATCGGATACACACATTGCTCTCAAACAATGGTCTTACATAGACATACATACATCTCTATATCTTTGTTGGCTCTAGAGAAAGATGACGATGGCAATGGTGTTATTATCAACATAGGAAATCATTCAACATGCTGGTGATGATGGTAGATGCTGACGACAACACGTCTTTACTTACTATTCATTTGTCTCCTGAGACAGTGTAAAATGCACTCTCGTATGCAGGAAGCAGTAACAGCAAAAAAATCATTATGATCACCATCTTATTCTTTCTGTCTCTCTCTCTCTCTCTCCTTCATCGTTCTATACCCAGAGAGACTATTATCAGATTATCTTAAATAATTGCACGCCTCTCAATATAAAATACCAAATATTACCTCTAGAGTTTTCTTCTTCTCTTGTTCAAGAACAAGCATGATCAAAAATGACTTTTTTCCTTCTATATTTGAAATAATGACATCAATGCTTAGTTATCATAGATGAATATTATTACTTCAATAGATCAATACACATGATATTATAATACGTTTTATACAAATCTCAATGATAACCTAAACATTAAGGTCGAATATACACATATTTATAAGTATACATAGTTTTGTACATAAAACAACATTCATTTATAGACAAGTGACATAGATACTTCTATATTTGTTATCGTAAGACAAACGCTTGCTAGATTACATACACATATAAATATACAAAAAAAAAAAAAAAAAAAAAAAGGAAGAAGAGTAGATCCGTTCCGGAATAATTCGAAAAGGAAGACATCTAAAATCAATAATTGACATCATGAGAAAGAAGCATGCTTGACAAGAAAAGATGCACGCTCTCTTACACTTGACGAAATCGATGAACGACAACCGATGATGAATGAGAGAGCGTAGTTCAAGAGAAAATTCAGTTTCTCTTTTTTTTTTCTTTTCTCTATATTTCCATATGCATCCATTGATTATGCAAAAAGACAATTTCATTTCTAATTCACTTATATCTAGCTAATGTCTAATTTTTTTTTCTGCATAAAATTTAGTTCAAAAATCTATTTTCTATTATTGTTATTATTATTCATATTTACTTTTTCGCTTGTATGCATTTTGTAAAAAAGATCAAATACCGGAAAAATTAGTAAAGGAAATGTTGTGGAAATCAAAGCAATGCTAATTTAGGTCAAAACTTTTCTTTATTCTCTTTTTTTTTTCTCGTCAATAAGTACAACAATACTTTCCGATTAACTTTTATTCACAATATACAATTGTGTTCGTTAAACTAAAATAAAATAAGAAAGAAAAAAAAAAAAGAAGTCAATCTCTAAATGTACTTTTATTTCTTTTTCATTTTATTGTTTGAACAATGTTAAAAATAAACTTTCTAACTTAATTGACAATAGAACAGAATACTACTAATTCGATTATCTCGGATTGCAGTCTTAAAATTAACATGTTTGATTTTTGTAACGATTAAGCAACATTTTCATAAGTTATATATGCATATATACAAGACAGATCAAAGTGTTGATGACGGCGATCGAACGATCAAGTACTTGGAATAAGTAATTCTCGTTCGCACCCACTCATTCTATGACTAAATCAAAAAAATAAATCTGTTCTACATCAATAATCGATACAGCGTTAAAAGGCCTGCTAACAACATCATCTTATAAACGTATGTGTGCATGGAATAGAGAAAAAAACGTCAAACTAAAATGCACATAAGAGGGGCGGAGGTAATTGATGTTATTACAATGATTTAATGTTTTTATCTATTGATAATATTACTTAATAAATTGAATGAAACGAATAAATTTAAAATCAATCACATGCCGCTATGAGACAATGAAAAAAAACGAAAGAAAGAAACCATCTTCTTAATTCTCCTTAGAAATTTATATTAATAGATTGTTGCTTTTATCTTTACCTGAAGAATTGATTGACGTCGTTGGTTTTATTCCATCTGTTTCTTGTTGCTTTTGTGCATATTCCAAACTAAATGAAAGATTACAAAGAAAAATACTATTTAATAATAATTATTTTTATCATAGAAAAATCTATTGATAATGTCAATAATGTTTACATATGTTTCAATCAAAAATATCTGTCTCTGGATTATTTTATCAGCCAAGGCAATTATCTTTTCATAATTGATCAAACTCTTATGAGTTATTTTTTCTTTTTCTTGTAGTAAAATGTAAATGTTTTTGGTTCAGTCAACAATTTTGTTTTTTTTTTTTTTTATTATGAAGATCCTCTACTGTCGAAGTTATGCATTTCAGAAACTTACTTTAAAAGAAGAAGAGAGCACAGAATGTTAAAAGACCTTTTTATTCTAGAAAAAAAAAAAAGAAGAAATTCTTTTACTAATTATAAGCACTTCAATGATAGTCTTTTGACATGATAAATTGTAGCTAATTAACTTTACAATACCATCAAAACTTCATATAGGTACCAAAGTACTCGCCGTCCTACAATGTTCTATTTTTCTTTACTTATTCGGAAGTATAATGTTAGCAGGTGATACTGTCGGAATTGTTTATTCCTATGTAATTCTATAATTTTTCAAATTACATTGAAATCTAAATTGATTCAATCTTAATTGCTAACAAAATCAGGTCTAAATTCAATTGATATATTCGAGATCTGAGTCTAAGATTTTCTGTACAATATTTTATTAAAAAAAGAATTAATTTTTCCTTTCAGTTTAAGCTGAGTATGTTCAAATATCAGTATGATTATCTTCGTTAACAAACAAACAAACTCAAGTATATTACAGTAAATTACACGACGACGGTGAAGTTTAACCTTAAAACAACATGTATATGTAGATAGCCATGGATGTAGAGAGAAACATTGGAAGAGCGAACGATCCCACTCTTCAAAACTTTTTTCAATTTTTCTAAACATAAAATGAATCAATACAATCTCTAATAGACTTCAAATCACGTTTCGTTACCATGATCGATCTTTTTTTCTAAAATTTAAAATTCGCTACTGTATGTAGATGTGTATAGAAAGATTTTTTCTATGTAATGATGAATTTATTATCAAGTTGACACTTTCAATAAACGACATCAGTTTGATTGCATTCTACCGTAGCCCGTGACAAAACTGGCGCTCTCTATGGTCTAATCTCGTTCTGGGATAAAAATCTTGTAGTCATTTTTGTCTTTAAAAAAAAAGAACAACTGGATTTGAAACAATCTTAATGTATGAATAGATATTAAATTTAACAAATTAAACCTAATTTTCAATTGTTTCTATAAGAAATTGTGATTAGTAAAATATATATCCTTTCTTTTTTTGTATTTCTCAATTTTTCTTTGTATTTATGACATAATCATTGTTGAGAGAAAAGAAAGAGTTTTTTTTTTCCTTGAGTAATTTTTGTAGTAATTATAAAACAATTTAAAACATTATTATTATTTCCAGTTATTTTGTGCCGAGTATTTAAATACTTTAGTTTTTTTTTTTCAATAGCTAATTAATAGCAATTCAGCTAAGGACAAAGAAAAAAAATAAAGAGCTTCAATCAGCAATTCTAAAAAAACAGGCGCTTTGTCCTTCAACAATAGGTTTTATTAATTTATGTTAACACTTCAAACGTTTCTAAGCGAATAGAAACTAATCTTACTGATACCTACACTTCGAAGTGTTATGTTCATTAATACCTACTTTGTATGAGTGAGAGAAAAATTGTATGTTTAACAAGGAATACTAAATCGACTCCGTACATACACTAACATCTAGAGACCGTCATAATCTATTGTGTGACTTCAATAATTTTCATATCTAAATTAGTGTTCTTGAAAAACTTTATTGCAAGAAGTAATTCAGATATGAAACTTATTCGAGCCAAACGATGAATGATAATCGTTTATGAATATTAGTATATGGTATAAAGAAGTTACTGACGAGACAATATATTCAAATGTCGGATGTCGTTCGACTTCACATTATGGCTATTTTAATGAAACTGAAAGTTTCGACGAAATCGAACATGTCTTTCTCGAGATATTCGATATTTAAAAACACAGGGATTTATCATAGGAGAACATAGAAATCGAGTTTACTTGGAAATTGAATATTTTGAGAAAGACATGTTTGTTTTTGTTGAAATTTTCAGGACTATCAAACGTATCCGTAGACATAAGTCGGCTTGAAACCAGTTTTTTTTTCGGAAATGACTTGCTATCAGTAAAAATTTCATTAAAATGATCATAACTCTGCAACACTAGGCTATGAGTTCATGTCATTATAAGTTTCGCTTAGTTTCATTGAGACTTACTGATAGTTTTAATGCGAAGCCGAACGGCATTCCACAGTTAGATATATTTCCTCGTGAGTGTCAATATGGACGAACCCTGATTTGATATTCCTTGTTAAACACACAAGTTTTGTATTAGTCATATACAATAAGTATTTGTGGGTATAAGAAAGAGTAGTTTCGATACACTTTGAAATATTTGGGATGTTAACATAACTTGATAATACTTTTCAAAAATGTTCATTTGATGATTAAAGATAAATATGATTAGTAAAAAAAAAAAATAACGAATAAAAATGGTTTATCTATCGACAAATCCATGAAAATAGTACAAGTGAAACTGATTCGACTGTTCCGTGAGTTCTTATTGATCAAATGTATGACATTACCATATTTTCTATCGAAAAGCGTTTAGATACAATTTATTTTCACATAAGAAATTTTGATTGATCGACTGACTATAACTAAAATGACTTTCTTTTCAGTGTTTAGTAAGTGAAATGATTATAAAATCAGTAAATTACTTGAATGATCACTTATTATTTAATTAGTTTAGTTAATAAATTTAAAATTAATTAAGAGTAATGTAAATGAAAGGATAAGTATAAATAGAGATGTACAATTTCAGTTTATTGACTATCGACTCAGTATAGTTAGTGAACACTGAAGCATTGGAATACACCGCTGTAAGAAAAGAGTATGTTTTCATAGAGTTAGTATCTCAATGTTGCAGTGAATACCGATGTCAGAATAATCAGTGCTTCAGTGAATCCTATATTAGGGACTCACTATTTAGTATTTATACCAACACACTGCACATCCCTAAGTATAGGGATTGAAATAGCTAAATAAACATAGAATACAAAAAAAAAACGGTTTAACTTAGAAAAAGTGCTTTTATTATGAATGACTTGAGTTAGTTGATAATTTCCCAAGCAGACAAAACTTTGGAAAAATGTGTTTAAATGCGCACAAGAGGAAACCGCGATTGCGAGCCATTCACGCTAATTATTAAGACACCATAAACGTCGTTTTTAGCATGAAATTATTACTTTTAGAGCGTGAAAACAGTCAAAAACTTTTATTTTGAGCGTTTAAACGCATGCATTCTAAATTCTAGAACGAAAGCGCATTTAAACGCTAAAAATAGGAGTTTTTGACCATTTTCATACTTTAAAAATGATAAATTCATACCAAAAATGGCGTTTTAATAATTGGCGTGAATAGCTCACAATCACGGTTCTCTTTTGTGCGTTTAAACGCGTTTTTCCAAATTTTTGTCTGCTTGGATTAAATGAAAGGCTTTAACTTCAAACATTGTCAATAGTTGATCGATTGAACAAAATCATTTTTCAATTAATACAAAAATATTTGCCACAAAATCAATGATATTTTTTAAAAATATGACAAAGGTGTCGAATACAAAAACTATGCTTAGTCACATTTTCTAAGCGGAAATTATTTCAATATATTGAGATTTTGAAAATTTCTTCTGCAATTATTTTACACCCTTTCTAACTACGAAATATCTCATTTTATAGAAGTGAAGTAGCTCTACAAGATGCAGACAAACGAGAATCTATTGATCGTCTTTCTTAGTAAGTTTTTAATGAGTTTTCGAAGAAAAACACAGTAAGTGAAAATTTTAAGTCGACATTTTCGACTTCTCTTGCACAACAAGGGAACAAAGCCAACAGACATCAGATACACTTCTGTAGTAACCGACGACAAGAAATATTAGCCTGAAAGGAGCTGTACGGACAAAGTTTTTTATTATTACTGACAATATTATCGTTTTTACAAATTGAATATTTTGTTGTCTAACAAAATAATGAAATTTAATCATTTAAATCTTACCAATCATCAGCAATATGTGTAATACCAGTTAGACAATGTACATAACGTTGTATAACATACCACATACTTTCAATAAAATATGGATATCGAAATCGATCAGGTACTCGAACTTTTCTTTCAATTGTCCAAACTTGTATTTGCATTGGAATTTTAAAAGAATGTAAAAAATTTCCACCGAAAACAAGAGAATCTTCCATTGTATATACACCATGAATCCAACCTGATGGTAAAAAAAATGTCCAACCAGGTTCAAGAATTATCATTTGACAATCATTTGAAGAACATAAATCAGCAAAAAAACATTCATTTTGTCGTCCAGATAATATCCATTCTTCATATAAACGTAAATGAGATTCAGTTGGTGGTATTAACCAAAAAACTTTCTTTCCTTTTAATAAATGATACCAAACAGAAGATCCACCTTAATAGAAAAACAAAAAATAAAATAAAATTGATTTGTTTTATTAAATTGAAATAATTAATTTCGATTATTTTACCCATATCAATATGAAAATCAGTAAAACATTTTGCAACTGACATAAGAACATATCTGAAAATATAAAAATGAAAGGATGAGATTGATCACTGATGAAATCGGTATCCTCGAAAACCTTGTTTTTTTGTTTTGTATATTAAACTCTCACATCAAAGTTCTAAGGATACTATTCTTAAGACATGATTTTATGCCTTTTTTTTTCACTGATATTGATTAGATTTAGATCAGAAAAAAGTACGCTTGAAATAAAATTAATTTTAATATTCTGAATCAGCATTCAAAATCGAGTGGATTATTGAGGTCTACTATCATATTATAACTAGGCATGTACCGAGCCCGAGCCCAGACCGAGCTACTCGGGCTCGGTCGGGCTCGAGCTCGGTTGGGCTCGGTCGAAGTCTGACTCTCTCCGGCTTGGTCGGCCTCGAGATCGAGCTCAGTCAGCCAANTTAAAACGTCTGCGACAGCAAAAATAATGAACAAAGTTAATTTTATTGAAAAATCGAGTGTTTTTCTTCCATATGAAAAAAATGAAGTTTTTGAATATTTTTTGAGATTTTCCAAGTAGTTTTTTGAATTATTAATCTCAAAAAGATGACTCAAAATATTTTTGAAACATATAGTTTTGTACAGCTCGACAAGCTCTATTGAGCCATGTAAAAATATCGAAGAAAAATATTTTACTCCATTTTTGAATTACTGGTACATTAATTTTCTACACCAAAAAAGTATCAAAAATTCTGAAAATTTTTTAAGTTCGACGTCAAAAGGTCTTCATAACTTTTACTATTTGATACCAATAAATCCAGTTTTTGACGCGCTTTAATTCGGTGTAAAAATACATTTGTGATATCATTGATATTTTAAGTTGTAGAGGGGGGCGTAATTGTTTTTTAACACCCTGTATAGTTCAAGACAAGATTCAGATGCTCATTCTTCCCATATCTCAATAGTCAGCAAACTTAATCGCATATCAATTCAATCCAATTATATAAAATTCTGTTGATTTATAACAATTTTGTTTAATTGAAATTACATCGAAATAGAAAATTTTTTTTCGTTTTTGATTGTTGAAAACAGCAGGTTGCTTGCTATTGCCGTTGTCAAGTTATTGAGCTAAGAATCTTAAAAGGGTCACGTTATTCTAGACGTTTAAAACTTTAAAAATTCTTTCTCTAGACCTTGGATGTTCTATTGCGCAATTAGAGAGTTTCTATAAATTATTGATTTCTATAGAATCTATGATTAAATAAGGATTTTTATTGTTTAGCAATAATATTATTAATAATTTTTTTTTTTTTGAATTAATAAATTAAATACAGAATAACCGATAATTCTTACGAAGCTTATTGAATTTTAATATAAATATTGCTTATATTTTAATTAATTTCTTCTTTTTTTTTCTCTAACTGGTTTATTTCTCTCCAATCGAAATAAGCGAAATAATTCTATTTTTATTTTCACCAATACTCTCGTTTATCTATCTACATATTATTGAAAAGCTTTTACTTACCAAACGACGACCTTCTACATTTGAAAACATAATAATACAAAAATAGAAAAGCTTTTCGTTTTTTTTTTTTCTGTTTTTTAAAATTTCATTTGAATAATTTATTCAATTGACAGTTAAGATTATTTTTTTTATATGAATGACTCAACGCTTTGATACAAAAACAAGTACGAAGTCGATACTTGACAAAAAAAAAATTTTGTTTTGTCTCATCGAACAGATTAGATGCTTATCAATTACTTATTTCTATTTTAAATTTTTTAACTTTCATTCTTAATAATAAAACAAAAAAGATTATTTTCATTTTACTAAACAGCAAAAATAAGACAATTTTCAATAAGTTGAGGTCACTAGTTATCAGCAAGAAAAAAATCAAAATTGCATAAATGCATTAAAATGAGAGAAGGCAAATATGACTAAATGAATTGGTTAACATTTTCATTGTCTGTCATTTTTCTGTGGTTAATAGGTAATTAATGATAATAGAATATGATTGATAGATAGAAATATATGACACAATGATTAAATTATTTTCTAATACGTCTCAATGTTTTCTTTTTCTTACTTTTATTTTTATTCTTATATGTTTTATACAATTTCTATTTATTGTTCAACTTTTTTCTGATTCATCTCCTACGGAGAAATCTATTTTATTACCTCCATTTTATACTTCGAATACAATATTTAATTGTACACAGAAATTAAAATGTCCAAATAATATTACACATTTTTCTATATATATTGATAAAAATATTCAATATCCGAATGTATCTTATATACGTTCACCTATTTTTGCAACTATACTTGATATAATTAGAAATTCATCTTATTATACGAATGATTCAAAATTAGCTTGTGTACATATTGCACCAGTTGATACTCTTGATCGAGATCGTCGATCAAAAAAAGGTTATTTTACATATTTTATTGAACAACGTTTGAAATTTTTTCATCAATGGTCAGATCCGAATAAAATTCATTTGATATTCAATCATTACACAGGTAACTTTTTTTTGTTATCTTTCATTTTAGAGAGATAGTTATGTGAAGCTTCTTGTCAAATACATTCTCTTCTAGGAACTTGGCCTTCTTATCGACCAACATTAGATTTTATTTTACCATCAAAATATATTCTTGCTTCAACTAGTTTTACTTATACTAATTATAATTGTTTATCACATATAACATTTCCATTATTTCATAGTGATTATCCATCAAACATTACAAATAGATTTTTTTCTTCACGTAAAATTTTACTTTCATTTAAAGGTAAAAGTTATAAAGATGTTCAACATCATCGTACATTTTTTCATCATTTAAATAATAATCATGATATTATTATAAAATATACTGATGATAAATATAATAATTCTTATGATGAAACTGAATATATTAATCTACTTCGTCAATCTTATTTTTGTCTTGTACCTAGTGGACGACGTTTATATTCATATCGTTTTCTTGAATCATTACAATATGGTTGTATACCTGTTATAACAACAAATAATAATGAATTAATTATTCTTCCATTTAGTGAAATAATTAATTGGACAAAATCAATTATTATCTATTCAAATGCATCATTAAGTCTTTTACCATATTATTTAAAAAATATCAATATAAATCAACGAAATCAAATGCAAAATCAATGTAGAAATATATGGCGAAAATATTTTTCATCTATATCACGAATTGTATTAACTTTACTTGATATTTTAAATGATCGTTTTATCTCCTCTTCTTCTTCTTTTTCCTTGCAACGTTAATCACATACATATATACACATGCAAGAGAATTTCTTTTTTTTTCTTTTCTTTCGTTTCGCGTTCTTCCTTCGTCTGCTTCTAATTTATCGACATGATCAAATCGGTCGAACTTTGTTCATATAGTGTTCACTTTTGTTTCATAGGTCACGATAAGCAGGAGAAGTTTATCGCTTTTTTTTTTTTTTTCTTATTGCAGATCTGTTCTATATTGTATAGAATAATAATAAAATTATGACAGATATAATTATTGATGATGATATTATTGAAACAAATAAACCAACAACATCAGGTTCGAGTTCGTCAGTAACAACAACCACAACAACTCGTCGACCAATGTTTATCGAAACTGAAGTACGTACAGATTCAATTACAAAACGACGAGCAGGATCAACGGCGACAAGTAGAAGTGTTTATGATATACTTAAAGATACAAAATCACCTACAGAGTAATGATTTTAATTACGAAAAAAAAATATTATATTTTAAAACGATTTTTTCATTTAGTGGACTTCCACCGACAACTTATACTTATGCTCACAGGTTAGTATTTTATTTGCAAGAAAAAAAAAGAAAGCTTTTTGAACAAATCAAACTATTTGCACAGTGTGAATAGACATTATCATTCATATATATTCAGTCTTTTATAAAATTTACTTCAGGGTTCACTTTGTTTGATTACTATGAATGAGTTGGTTTGAATTATTATTCATAAAAATAAAAAGCGACACTTGAGAATAAGTAAACATACCTATTGTTATATGGTACCCTCAAACGTGAAGTTATTTGCTGGTGCGTTGTAAAGGGCTCTAAACTCACAGCAATAGAAAAGATCTTTTTTTTTTTTGAGCTTATCGTATGTTACGTAGTACGCAAATAGATTTGACTTTTATATAGTTCGATGATTACGTTTATCATCATTCAGTTGCTTTGAAATATTAACATTTTTCTCTATTACGACAATAGTTGTTTAATATTTTTACAATCTCAACTAGACCTTGTTCTAGTAATGATATATTTTAGTGTGACAAAAATTTTGCCAAAGGAATCGATAATTTTCACTGAGGATGCATAGTAATTCACAGTGTAATGTGAATTATTTTGTTTGACATGGATACCGCTAAAATAGCTGAATGAAAATTCATTTTTTTTTGTCTGAATATGAAGTTGAAAAGTATACTACTCGAAGGTATTTGATGTCATCAGTGTGTCCTTGTTGTTTTTCATGAATGTAAAGTGCCATTGTCAAGGCGTCATGAGAAATGTCTTTCATAATGGTTTAACCTTGAGTAACAAGGTACCTATTAAAATACAGGTGACAGAATTGAATTTCGAAAAGAAAAAACTAACTGTTCAAATGTATAATTTTAAATAATGAGAAACAACCTTTTAGCGATATGGATATAATAACAATAAAGACATAGAAAATAAAACTTTTGAACACAGTTTGATAGGAATATTATAGAGACTTGCAATTTTTATTCGGTGAGTTTTTGGTGGAAATTTTCGAAAACGATTTCGTTCGAGAATTATAGAATTCTCTCTGTAACTTCCGATTTTAGCTAATTGACGTGTGATGAAGTGGAAAAGTTGCTAGAAACGGGTAGTTCACCATGATCAGTTGAATGATGATATTTGTTTCTAAGTTCGAAATAATCTGACATTGTTATCTCATGATTTCGAAAAGTTCATAATCAGTCTCCATGTAACGAAGGAATCAACATTTGAGAAATATTGAGATGGGAGCGTAAAATCAGTTCGAACTTAAAAACAAATATCATCATTTGTCTCCGGGCGGTGAATCATCTCTACGTAGTTCATTTTCAGAGGGTGACCACAGGTGGATTAGCTGAAATCTAGAACTCCTAAGTAACACTCTTCTAATTACTCGAACAAAACAAGCTAGCAATGCCAGCTTTGCATAAACGGAATATGGAATAGATTCAGAAATCTCCACCAATAACTTAGCTGATTGGTTGGTTGTTAATCATAGATCCCTAAAATATTCCTATCAAAAGCTATTATTAATAGTCTTGAAAATGTCGAATAACTCTTTCTCGAGTTATTTAATTACCAAAAAAAAATATAGAGAGCAATCATAACAGCACAATAATAGAATTTATTTCGAAACATTCAGAACTATCGAACTAAGTATCTGATTAAATTATTTTGTTTATTTAATTCTAGTGTTTCATATATGCCTGTGACGGAAAATGGTTCATTTGATGTTCCAGTAATGGCTCGTCGTGATTTACATGGTGATTATCGTGCATATGGATCATCAACTTTTTCATCAACAAATTCGGTATTTTCATCACCGACACGATTTATTTCCAATGTTCGTTCACAATTAGCTAATGGATATTCAGCTATTCGTGATCGTTTAACACATCATAGTACTCAAGAACATCAACAACAACAACAGCAGCAACAAACAGGAACAGAAACACTTCTTAATTCCCCGACGTCTCATCGTGCTACAGGACTTTCTCGTACATCATCTCAATCATCAACTAATGGTGAAACAAAAGGTTATAATCTTCGTCGACGTCCACCTGTTCATTCAACACCACGTGATAATGAAAATGAACAAATACAACAACGTAAAGTAACAAGTAAACAACGAAAAGAACGAAAAAGTCAAGATGATCAAGAAGAAGAATATAATGAAGATTATAATGAAGAAAAAGAAACTAAAGATGAAATAATTGATGAACATAAAGAAAATGCATTGATTAGTTTTGCTAAAAATCTTCTTTATCTACCAATTGCTATATTCAAATTTCTATGGCATTTTCTTGGTAGTTTACCATGGTGGTTACTCATTCCACTTCTTCTCTTTCTTGGTCTTTATACTGGTAAATATACTTTTTCTTAAATGGAAGTCACACGATATTTTTCTTCGAAAAATATACTTAGCATTTGTTTTAAGCCGAGGCTTAGCGGTACATTTTCATATGAACTGAGAACATCCAGCGTTAGACTTCCGTAGTAGAACACACTGAACGACATATTAACAACAAAACTTAGACAATGCTAGAACATTCTAAGGGCCTTTCTCGAAAGTTCAATGACTGAAATACGTTTGTCAGCGAATCGTACTTCGATACTCAATGAAATATTCTAGTCAAAATAGAATAATTGCTCTGCACATTCCTCAGACGACTAGAACCCATTAGATGGGAAATTTTCAGATCTCAAACTGATCAGTACGACGCATATATCTCTAATAGTGATGCATTGATTTACCCGAGTCTTTATTTGATTGTCGATTAGTGTAATAATGGCTAAAGAACACATGTGACTTCCATGTATCTGACCCTGAAAGGGCTCAGCGTAGAAGTTTTTCTCTATTTTTCAATATTATTTAGTTCCTTATTTGGCATGTAAATCATTGGAACATTATCCTGAATCAAAAGCTTATCAACATTGTCGAGATTTTCAACAATATAAGAATAAACAATTGGAAAATTCATTTAATAAGATTCGTGAAAATACATATATTCGTGGTAGTCATTATCTTAAACAATTTTATCACTTCTTAATTGGTATAAAAGATTGGATAGTTAATTTTTTGGATGATGTTTATTATGCTATAAAAAAAATATTTCGTCGACAAGTGAGTAATGTTAAAGGACATGTTAATAATGCTGTTGAAACAACAAAAGAGAATGCTAAAGAATATTGTGATGCTAGTCTACAAAAAGTTAATAATTTAATTGAAGAATTTAAACGCGAAAAAGATAAATATCTTGGTAGTCGACATGCATTAAAACCTGCTCAAGAAAAAGAATTAGAAGGTGTAAGTAGAAAATATATTGTGAAAGTTAATTTTTTTTTTTTTCACAAAACTACGTTTTTTTTAGCTTATTCGACAATTAGTTGATGAATATGCTGCTGATGAAACTGGTCAAGCTGATTATGCACTTGAAGCTAATGGTAAATTAAATAATAACGAAGAGAAATATTAAGATGTTTTTTTTTTGTCTTAGGTGGAAAAATTGTTGATACAAGATGTACTGAATATACTGATGAACCTCGTCAAAATGTTGTGAAATTTCTTGGTATTCCTATAGTACATATGTCTAAACAGCCAGATATTATGATAAAAGTTTGTTTATTTAATTAAGAATTTTTACTGAAATAGAAATATGTCTGTTTTGTGCATAGGCCGGTCGAATGCCTGGTCAATGTTTCCCATTTAAAGGTGATCAAGGAAGTGTTATTATTAAATTAGCTGTACCTGTTAAACCAACTGAATTTGTACTTGAACATTTATCGAAAAGTATTTCAATTGTTGGACATATTAATAGTGCACCGAATAATTTTACTGTTTATGTAAGTAAAAATTTTAAATATTACTTAATGAAATTAGAACGATGTAGATGTTATAAATAGTTCTTTTAATAGAGAAAGAAAAGTAAGATCGAAGTTTACTTTCAGTAGTCTTCATAAAAAGATTTGTTGCTGAGCACTGTGGAGTCTATCAACTACATTGAAATCTAACTGAAGCAGCTGAAGAGGCTCGTACGCATTAGCTGTTAGTACTGAGTTTAGCACTTTTTCGACCCATTTTAATGTACTTTCTGAAAAGTCAAGTAGCCGATGCTCGATCGAAAATTTCACCTATAGATACATCTCGTGGATATTAGAATGTGCTGAAAGTTTCAGGCTAAAAGAATGTCGTGTTCTTCAGATATGAAACATTGCAAACAGTGGCGTACGCAGGGGGGGCGGGGGGGCCCGGCCCCCCCCTTGAAACGAAAAAGTCCTGAAGGGGGGAGCAGGAAAAAATATTTTCGCGTGATAAAAAATTTGGTTGCCATGGCNTGATTTGTCATGGGAACTAAGCAGATGAAAGGTAATAAGTTGGCTACTGTACTTGGTGCAGTCAGCCGCTTTTCAATCAACGTGACAAATGGAATTCGGAAAACGGGAAATTTTGGCTCCCAAAACTCTAGCTCATCTCTATTTACTAAATTATGTCGTCATTTGGATCTTCTTCAACTACACAGATCCTGTTTTAATTTATTATGTGAAATCGGGTCAAAATGTCAGTTACCAATATTACAACAGTAATTCTTCGCAGATAGATATTCATCAACATGTGTGTTCAATTGTTTTGAACTGATTGGTCTCGCAATGGAGCTACACTATTTGATTCTCCGAGTGTGAAACCGTGTGATTTTTAGTTATTGGATTTAAAAAAAGGAAAATCTAAGCGATTCTGTATGATAACTTTATTCTGTAGAGAATTTCATGAATTCTAAGAGCGATGAGGGATATAGAAACACTATTGATAAATGGATGCTATCCTATATAAACAACCATAGTGGCTAGTTCGGACATTGGATAACATAAAAACTCGATGAAGTTGTTTCTAAAATTTGTTTTCATCGATCTACTACAATTTTTGCCGTGCTCGTAATATCATAATATCAACTGAAGAATGATGAAATATTGTAGAATTGTAATGTACTGTTTAGACTCGCAATATATAATTAAAAAGAGAGAATTTTCTTTAGTTTTCTTTACAGTATTATAATGCATCGAACGAGTTATGCCCTAAAATAAACAGTCAATTATGACATGATTATTACAAGGTTATTATCCAGATTGTCTGAAAATGTGTACAATGGTTAACTAGTTGAATACAAATAATTGATAGAAAGTCTCTTGCATTTTCAGAATGATCTGGAAACTCAGAATAAAATATTTCATTGAAATAAGATGTATCTATGTAATAGCTACTGAGAAACTATCATCAGTATAATGTACGCTACACCGGTGGTCTTTGTTGAAAGTGTTGTATCATAGTGTATTGTTATCAAAACGGTAGAATATTTTTGAAGTCTGTTAAAACTAGCAGAATTAAATCATTTTCGATGCACCTTAATCACAGAGCCCGAATCGGCATCAGTGATGAGATAAATTTTTATTAGTAAAATATATAAGTTGAAACTGTTTTCTTCCTGGTTAATTCGAATTGAGATAGAAAGTACTTTCTGAAAAATTTTTATAGCTGAAACTATAAGTCGTAAACGCTACAGCTGATAAATCTGGCTACTGTTCAGATCCGAGTGCAAAAATCTTGGATCAGATAAGCTGAAAAATACGGCATCAACTTTCAAGATTGATAAGACTAAGAATAATGCCTAAGAATTTACTAAGATTTTAACTAGTAGAAAAGGTATTGACATTTACATCTATAGATACGTGTCGTGAGTGTTAGACTAAATGAAAAATTCGAAATATTGTATGATAAAGAAAATAATTTTTCGAACGTTTACTATCTTGATAAAAAGCTTTAATTTTTAAATAAAGTTGATATGATGTTTTAAGAACGAATACAATGCATTGTCAATCTTTTGTAATCTTACAATCAATAGAACACATATTATATTGTGATGATTTAAAATGTACGAAGTCAAATTTTATCACAGTTTTAGTACCGGTCTCATACGTGAGATCATTATTTGATATTGTTTTCATATTAGAATGAAATTAAAAATCAAAATTATCTAGGTGATAACTAATACTTGATGTTTATTTATTTGTTTGACTAGTGATCAATCACAAATAAATATTCACAAATATTTTTGAAATTTAAAGACGAAGTTTTAATGAGTAACACTTTTACGTAAACTAGGTCAATGTTGTTCTATCAACAGACGTGTACATTGATTAATACTTTGCATACATGTCATCGAAATTATGCTATTTTTAAACATCCAAATCATTTATCAATACTTTGCATTTTCAGTGACGTTTTTTTTCTAAGGATGATTCATACGTATTGACACGTCTATGTTCTGTCGTCGTGATTACTAACGTGAAACGACATAAAAGAAAAACGAACAGTTGTGCAATAACAAGAACGATAATAAACGGAGAGAGAAATATAGATTTTTTTTCTCTCTTGTTTTTTTCGAAGGGGCAAACTTGCACAATGCTTTGTAAAAAAATATTTCACTGTCTCTAGTGTAATATCTCGTGCACGTCTTAGTATTTTTTCACTTTTTTATAAGTAGGCATTCATTTTTACATTTTCATCTAGATTATTATTAACAAACGATATGAATCCATCAACTACATCTTCCAATAAAGGTGGTTCAGGTCCATTATATCGTATACCACCTTATCATTATATACATGTTTTGGATCAAAATACAAATATCACACGACTTGAAGTTGGTCCAAAAACATTTATTAAACAAGACAATGAAACAGTTATTATTGGACCGGAAAAAATGATTACAGTACCGTACGTAAATTATTTCAAAAACAAAAATAAATAACTATTCTTAATTATTTATAGACCACGTCATTATTGTGTTGTTGAATCACCTGTAGTACGTGATGAAGCAGGAGAAGTACAATATGATGCAAATGGTCAAGCTAAACTTGTGCACGCTGATTTGGATATTCGTCTTGCACAACCTGATCAAGCACCATTTCCACTTTATCCTGGAGAAGTTCTTCGTCAAGTACGAAAAAAACAAAAATTGATAAAATCTCATTTTTTTTAAACTTTTTTCAGCCAGTTACTCCTCTTAAAGTTGTACCAGCTAATTCAGCATTACGTTTAAAAGCTGTACTTGACTTTGAAGATGAAACAACCAAAGAACAACGTCGTGCTGGTGATGAATGGTTATTTGAAGGACCAGCAACATACATTCCACGAAAAGAAGTTAGTGTAGAAGAACAAATTCGTGCAACTGTAATTGGTTCTAATCAAGCTATTCGACTTTGTGCAAAAAAAGAAATTGTTGATCGATCAGGTCAACGACGTGTTACTGGTGAAGAATGGTTAGTTAAAAAAACTGGTGCTTATTTACCACTTGCATATGTAAATGAAATTATTTTTTTTGTTTTCGAAAAATTTTATTTTTATTAATTAAATTTTTAAATATTCTAGGAAAGTGTGATTTCAGTTGAAAATGCACATGTTTTAACAGATAAAAAAGCACTTCATCTTCGTGCTCTCAAAACTTTTACAGATGATTTTGGTAAACAACGTATGAATGGTGAAGAATGGCTTGTAACTCTTAATGATACTGAAACACATACACTTAATGTTTATGAACAATTAGTTGCTGTTGTTGATGTAATAACACTTAATTCACGTCAATATTGTGTTATTCTTGATCCAGTTGCTGATGATGGCAAACCACAATTAGGAAAAAAGGTTTGTTATGATAGTTTCTTTTGTTTTTTGAACTTATAAATAAAAATAAGTGTTGAAGTACAGAGATAGAAATTTGGACTCGACACAGATGTGATGAACATCTTAGCAATGAGTCATTACAGATAGAAGTGTAAACTGAATCATTTGTCGGTAGCAGATAAAATGTTCTTAATTTCAAAAAAATGAAAAGAGTAGAAACGATGGTAGAGAACTTATTGAAAATAAACCAGAAGGTAACATCTTCAGAAACGGAATATCTATTTTTGTTGCATGATGATGTCTCAGCCCATCGGTTTACACTTCTGAAGTCACTTGCCTTTTTGCAGTTTTGAAGAAAGAAGATAATGAAGAAAACAATCTTTCTGTGGTTAATAACTTTTTTTTTTATTGGAATTTTTTCTGTTTAGAAACTTATTATTGGTGAAAAATCATTCTTTCTTCAACCAGGTGAAAAACTTGAAAATGGTATTCAAGATGTTTATATATTAGGTGAAGATGAAGGTGTTATTCTTAAATGTATTGAAGCATTTACTGATGAACAAACTGATACAAATCGAAATCCTGGCGATCGATGGATGATTCGTGGTCCAGCGTAAGTCATTAAGTCGTTTCTTTTTTCCTTCAAAAATTAAAAAAATCTTTATTTATTTTTTTTGTTTTTGTTTTAGTGAATATATTCCTCCAACACAGGTTGAAGTTGTTACACGTCGAAAAGCAATTCCTTTAGATGAAAATGAAGGTATTTATGTTCGTGATATAAAAACAGGTCGTGTACGAGCTGTTATTGGTGAAACTTATATGTTAACACATGATGAAGAACTTTGGCAAAAAGAATTACCTAAACAAATCGAAGATTTACTTACACGTGATCCATTAGCTGAACGAAATGTTCCAACACGTAATCAACAATCGGATAAATCTCAACAACAACAAACAACTACACAAGCAACAAGTTCAAAATCAAGTACAACTAAACGTGATAAATCAAAATTAGTTACTTATCGTGTACCACATAATGCTGCTGTACAAATATATGATTATAAATCTAAGAAAGCACGTATTATTTTTGGTCCTGAACTTGTTATGCTTGGTCCTGATGAACATTTTACATTACTTTCATTAAGTGGTACTGTACCAAAAAAACCAAATCAAATTCAAACACTTTGTTTACTTCTTGGTCCTGATTTCTTTACTGATGTTATCGTTATTGAAACAGCTGATCATGCTCGTCTTTCACTTCAACTTTCATATAGTAAATAAATAAATAAAATAATAATTTATTTCTTAATATTTTTTTGTATTTCTATTTATTTAGATTGGCATTTCGAAGTCAGTGATATCAAAGATGAAAAAGAAGCAGCAAAACTTTTTTCAGTTCCTGATTTTGTTGGTGATGCAGCTAAAGCTATTGCATCACGTGTTCGTGGTGCTGTTGCTGGTACTCAATTTGATGATTTTCATAAGAATTCAGCACAAATTATTCGTGCATCTGTATTTGGTCTTGATGCTAATCAACGTATACGAGATCAATTTGTTTTTCCACAAAATAATCTCGTTATAACATCAATTGATATTCAAAGTGTTGAACCAGTTGATCAACGTACACGTGATGCACTTCAAAAGAGTGTTCAATTAGCTATTGAAGTAAGAATAATGAATCAATTGATTTTTTTTTTTATTCTAATTAATATAAATCAATTTTTTAGATAACAACTAATTCACAAGAAGCTGCAGCTAAACATGAAGCTTCACGTCGTGAACAAGAAGCTAAAGGTTTATTAGAACGTCAACGTATTAAAGATGAAGCTGAAGCTGAAGATGTTCGAAAACAACTTCTTGAATTACAAGCTTTATCAGCTGCTGTTGAATCAACAGGTCAAGCTAAAGCTGAAGCACAAAGTCGTGCTGAATCAGCTCGAATTGAAGGAGAAGCTGCTGTTGAACAAGGTAAAAAAGAAATATTATATAAATATACATTTTAAAATATTTAAATAATGAACTTTTTTCTTTGTTTCTTTTGAATAGCTCGTCTTAAATCTGAAGCAACACGAATTGAAGCCGAGGCTGAATTATCACGTTTAAAATTAGCACGTGAAGCTGAAATCAAATTTTTAGGTGAACAAAATGAATTAGAAATTAGTAAAAAAGGTGAAATGTCAAGAATTGAAACAGAAAAATTTAAATTACAAGTTGAATCAATTGGTGCATCAACAATACAAGCTATTGCTACGTCTGGTCCAGATACACAAGTTAAACTTTTACAAGCACTTGGTCTTCAATCGATGTTGATTACTGATGGTAATACACCAATCAATCTTATGGGATTTGGACAAGGTCTTTTAGGTGGTTTAACTGGAAATACAAATAAAAAAATACGATCATCAACTACAGCTTCAAGCAATTATCATGTTGAAGAAAATCAATAGATAAAAAACATTCGAAAATTTATTCGTCATTTGTCCGCGTGTGTTTACGTTTATTTTTTCTATACCTTAGTTTGATTTCTTTTTAAATGCTTATGTAAGAATAATAAATTTAACGAACAATTTTCTATTCTTTACTTAAGTTTAATGAACATGTCTGCATAGTTAAAGAGAAATTATAGAATAAATATTCGACTTGACAAAAATTATTTTGTAGTAGATGAACATAAATCAATGGAGAAACAATAGAGTTCAAGCAACATTCAAAAAGACTTCAAGAGATTTCATAGTTAGATATAAGCAAGATAGTTCCGAAACAACAGTAAAGACTTTTTCATTGGGGACGATACCTTTTATGATCATGTATAAGTTGCATCGAACTTTATATTGTCTTGCTCGTGTCTATTCATAGGATTTCAAGCATGAAGTCTCCGTTAGTGTCCACGGAATATCAGTATAGTAGTCATTCTTTTCTTTTTGTGAAATATGATTTCAAATACATTATGAGATATATGATGAATACTACCGATCTATGTTGTAATATCTTCATAGACTCTGATAGTCATAGTTTAGCTATAGGATTTTGTGTAAATTATAAATGAATTAAATTATTTGATCCTTTTTTTCATAACTGCACGATTAGAGATATGAGAGAGAAAGCTTTTCTTTTGTTCCGCGGTCTATTCATGTAAAAAAAGGTTGTAAGAAAAGACTAAAAATTGATTATAATGGCATTATTATAATCTGGTTTTCAATCAGATTTTTCAGTCTTAAAAAAACAGATTTCATTTGATTTAATCGATTCAAAAACTTCAATCAATTAAGATCGATTTTTAATCTTTTCTTCTAATCATTTGTTCACATGGATAGAGAAAACTATCCTTATGAATGCATTCGTATCACAATACTGTGTTTTGATTAATATGAGTTATAAGATTATTTGCATGAAACTATAGAATATTTAACTGTACTCTTTAGTATCGATTTGGACAACTTTTTTTTCTCGCAGTTCCTGATCACCAGGTGGGGGTGTGGTGCCGTCGTACACCACTATTCATGGTCTATAAAATGAGCACACATTGAAATGTCTATCTTTCATTCTCTTTCCATTATTTATCTGTAACGTACGACAAATAAAAATCGATAGTATGTAATAACTAATGCATTGAATGATATTTTAGTTTCTCTATTAATGTCATCTTGACAGTACTAATAAGTTTCTTTTTTATGTAGGTCAATGGATTGCAAT